TAAACAAATTCAAGTTCTGAAAATCTCACCACTGAATCTGAGCAAGGAACATATTGAAGACATACAAAGCCCTGTGCAATTTGGCCAAAGACATTCAGAAAAACAATTCAACCAGAATAACATTCAGCTAAAAAATTGCAATTTTTCTCAATCTTATTTGTTGATGACTGAGAAATGTTCTTATTTCATTTTGTGTAGGGTTCTTTTCTTGGTTACCATTTTAGTAAAATACCAATATAATTTTAAAGTAATCATTTTATCCCAGGCATTGTACCATGTGTAGGTATCAATTGTTCTGCTTGGAATAAAATAGTGAATAAACAAACATTGACCAACTGATTGATTTTAATAGTGCACAAGAGAGACTGGATGAAAGTCTTAAAATGCTTAAGGTGCAAGTGGAATTAAAGTTGTCAGGAGATATACCAGTGGCCACCAAAGGTGGGTTTCTATGTTGTTTGCACTTCATTTCAGAACTTTTCTGGTAACAAGCTCTCAATATTGAAGTCTGAGGGAAAACAAGGCAGACTCTCGAAGAATCTGTATTTGTTACCTTGAGAAGGTGGTGAGGAATTTTTTGTCTAAGAACCATGGCTGGCCTGCATGATGTGATTGACAAAAACTTCAGTCACTTGCTGATCTTTTCTGGACATTGATCACATTTATTGATTGTCATTCATGTGGGCATCAGTTGATGAAGTACACTAAATACAGCTATACATTTTAATTAATCTAAGGCCATTTGATAGTCAATAAGCAAAAAAATAAAATTTGTTTAGAATGAGAAACTGTAGAAGTATATCCTCAATGACTTTATCCATGTTTTAAAAATTAAAAAAAAACAAAACAGAGGGAGAAGAAAAAGATCAAGAACAAGAAGGAAAACCAGTGAGACCCATGGTGAGTTGTGACTTGTGTTATGCTATTTCTTCCTATCAATGTAAGCTGTGAATCAAAGAAGATTTTGTAAAACTCAAAATGATAAAAAAATTAAATTATGAAAATAATGTTTTGGCAACAGCATATTACCAACAAATATACATGTCAAACAATAAAACAGTTAGTAGCGAAATTTCCTTACCAAATAAAATTCATGCAGGTACTTTTAGAACATGCTCTCTGTCCATGACTAAATTTGAGACTAGCAATGAGTTAATAGATTGTAACTTTTCAGAGAACCAAATAAGAGGAAGTCTCACCTTAAACATCTTAACACCTTAAAACAGAGCCCACTGGGTAATGATAAGGGAGGGAGGGTTTGATAAATAAAAAATAGAAATGAATAAAACAGAATGAGATTGCCTGAAGAGAATGGCAGGTTTAACTTATAAAAACAATATCAGTTGGTGGAGTCATAAACTTTTTGTGTTAGTTGGTCAGCAGTCTGACAAATTTTTCTTCATAGGACTTATTGGAGTTCATTGACTGTGGCTGTAATGGCTTCCTGAGTTCAATCTGTTTGGTGATTGCATCTTACAAGGAACAATTTATTCAAAGGCAAATGACAGAGTAAGAAAAAAAATTAATTTTGAACATGTCACTTCATTCTTTAGTTAAGTTCAATTTTGTCAAAGAACAAAAGCTAAAGTTGAATCCCAGTTTCTTATGAACCAAGACCTCAACAAACTGGGCTCAAGAAGTTCTCTCACTCTCCCCGATCGGGTTTGAGTCCTTGACCAGCAGTTTACCAGCATTTGGTTGTAATCCTGTTGCATACCAGATTGTTTTATTTTTATTAATTAAAGGAATATCAGTTTTCTTGAAAAAGAGGAGGCAAAGGGGTGAAATGCATCCCTAGGTATGCCTTTGACCAGATTATTATTCCCAAGATGATAAGAGAACTTTATGGGTTGCTTGGAAAAAAAACCCAGGGTAACATCTGGTATATTGCTACATTCTCCTTCCCAATTTTTCAGTATTCCAGTGTGAAACACAAAGAGAATTTTATGTTGCATCAAATAACACTTCACAGGCTTTATTTTGTCCATCCAATAAACTTCTATGAGAGAAGGCCTAAAGGTTTGAGGAAATTTTAGTGATGCTAGTAATGCTATGTATCTTAGTATCTTAACACACAGAAGAAATATGAATTACCTTTATGTCTCTTCTAGGCATGGTCAAGATCAGCAAGATTTGGCAAAGATAGTTACTGAGAAACTATCTAATTTCATTCTATCATTGATGAGTGAGTACTTCAAACTTACAGAAGCCAGGATTGAACTGGAGGTGATTTGTTGGTCTTATTTCTGTTAACCCTTTGACTCCTAAGAGTGACTAGCATCTAATTTCTCCTTACAATATCACCCCTGAATCACACATGAAGGTCACAAGAATAAAAGAAATGATTCCCAACTGAAGAAGCTCTTGATTGTAGAACAAATTCTCATTTACAACACCTTGGGAAATGTATAGAGAACAGTATGGAGAATATGCATACTGATGTTAGGTTGTAAAGGGTTAAGCTATAGACGTGAGACCCATCTCAAAAATTATTGGTTAGAGCACCATAGATTAATGTAGGAGCAGGCACTCTAGGTCCTCTGGTTCTATAGTCTAAAAAAAAAACGAATTCTGTAAAATCAATTTTCCATGCGTTAGAATTCGTTCATGAACCAAAAACAAAGGAAGATCTTGTTAATGACAGCTGAGTATATTTGCACTTGAAAGTCACTTCGTTTCAACAAACAGTTGAAAGAACCTTGATTTAAGACATGATATGAGAGAATGTGCAAGCCTTGTGCATACATCTAGTAGTAACACGTTTGTTTCTTTCAGTCGGATACTGGTGACAATGTACTGTTAGTGCGAGCACTAGATCGCTTTCACCGAAGACTTCAAGCAGTTCAGCAGCTCCTTCCCGAGATTGGCGTTGGACGGTAAGTTCCTGTAAAATAATTGCACTTTCTTATGAAATTTCTTCTGAGGATCAAGTACTCTTGTTGGACTCTTCCAAACTCGAGTAAATTTTCCAATCTCGACGATAAACTTCTCCTTTTAAATTACCTTTGTCTTTGGTCAAGACCCTACCCACTCAAATATACAATATTTGGGTTATTGACTTTGTCCATTGTTCTTAGTTCGGGAGCAAATATAGTGGCCCGGTCTGCTCACAATAGAGTGAAAGACTACTCGAAAAGCCTTCGACAGCACTTTGCCGGTAAGTACTCAGTACAGAAGGCTTCTGTAAGTCTTTCCTTTGATCATAGATCAGGTCGAGTACTGAGTTAGCTGTGCATTTAAGGCTAACTTTTCCTTACACTCTTTTGTAAACAGTAGTTGACAGACGCTTATTTTCCTCTTACACACGGCTGTTTGAAGTGCAAGTTATTGTGATGTTGTCAAGAGTTTGTTCTGCTAACGGTCTGCTACTCTTAATCAGTGCCAGATACTCAATTTTTGTTGCGGGTGAAGAACACTCGTTGCGTAACGCTAATTATGTGGGCTTGTTAAGCGAAAGTTAAAGAGGAGATTTGATTGATATGCTCATCAGTGCTAGACATCAGCTTCCACGAATGCCGTCTGACTAGTTTTTATTGTGTTCAGTTTGTTTAACAGATACCAGACAAACCCTTGCAACTCCGTCAGGAAGCGACAAACCACCTTCCCTGTCGGATTTGTTGTCAACCATGACTAACTCTCTCACCAACCAGGTGAAGCTGATCCTTTGCAGCTTAAAGGTTTGTACACCCAATCAGTCAGTCACTCACCAACCCACCCAAACAATTAATAAACTCGGTCAAGTAGTCAGTCAGTCAGTCAGTCAGTCAGTCAGTCGCTCGATCACCCAATGAATCAATCAGTCAGTCAGTAAATCAATCAATCGGTTGATCCGTCACTGATTCAATTAGTTAGTCAATTAGCAGACAGTCAGTTAATCATTTATTCGATTGGTCAGTTAATCAGTCAGTCTGCTAATTACGTTTATTTCAAATGAAACCATGAACATCTCGAAGTCCAGTCTCGCAGGCTCACAACAGCCTCTGAGGAAGAAAAACACTACCATTTCTGACATCATCGTCAACAAATGGTCATTGGACAGTGGATGTCTGGTCATCAATCAGTTGCCATGTACCAGTTATACCGTTAGTTTTACAAAAAGCGTTATTTTAAGAAAACGATGTCATCATTTCATCAACAAGTTTGTTGGACTGATGTCACTCCTCATGGGAAGACATATCAGTGACTCGACTTCAGGCTCACAGCAACAACATCAAAAAGCAAAAGTGCTTAGGTTCACATTGAAAAAAAATTATCTTGCCCTCAGATAAAATGCCAAAAAATAAACTGGATATGTAATTCATTACCTTTTTCAGACCTTCATTGGATCAGATATTACATTTGCCGTGAAACCATACTTCCGAGGACCTTTCTGTTCAGATGATGTCCGAGAGGGCCTGGTGGTAGAGTTTATACGTCACGTGCTGCGATCGGCTAAGGTCGGTGACGAATGAACGATAACGAGGCTGCCGTGACTAAATGTTTAAATGGCAGATAATAGAGCGCTGTGCGATTGAGTGTCGTAAAACCAAAACCAAAGCAATCGCAACAGCCAATCGTAGGAAGGAGAAACCAATGAGAACTCGAAGTAAGCTAACCTCCGGAAGCGCGGGAAAACACAAGTGACCATGACACGACTGGTTTCAGTTTTAAATCTGATCGGTTGAGATGGTGGAACAATCACCGTGGAAACGAAATAAAACATAAAAGATAAAATCCCAGATTACTTTCGGTACTCAATTGAAAATTGCTCTACGACACACGATATGTGGTTTATTACAAATAGTATTTCCTCTGTCTCCATATAAGCACTCGAAATAATGGATATTATAAAATGCAGACAGATCAGTGTGTTCATTAACTCCCACTTTGGAGAGCCATTAAAATCTTTCTTGCTGCTGTTTTCTTCAGGATTTTTGTGACATTGGAACAGCTCCTCCAGCTCTTATTCTTTTGTTATCGAGATTATGTCTTGATTTTCAAGAATCAACTATCTCTTATATGGTATGTTATGACCATTGTTCTTACAATGCTCGGAGATTGTAGATAATGACAACGCGAGATAATGATTATGTTTTTTGGGTAAATTTTTTAGGTACGATTTTTGGGTTGTTCAGGTTCTTTTTTTTTTTTTTTAAGGTATAAGCGCCGTTAAAACCGCTCGATTCTAGTGGAAAATGCAAACCACTGAATTAATTTCATACCTCCAGAGTAGCTAACTCGAATAAAGGAAGCAAAGCTCATGGTTGATAAATTTCGTGTCTTTTGCGTAGCTGAGTCTCACTGACGAGCAATTTCCAGTAGACGAGGAGTTGGGACGAGGAAGCCTGACAACTTCCGTGTCAGATCTCGCTACAGAAGCTCGGCACATTGCACAGGTCTGTAACAGTATTTACAGCGATGGAAAGTGTCGATCTTGAGTACTGGTGCTTAAAATACAAATTTATTGTTTAAGTCTCGTTGTAAGCCTGTTTTACTGGCTCCAAGGGCTTAAAGAAGTAAAATCATGCCATTTTGTGCCTGAATTTTTTTTGTTCAAAATGAAAAAAGCAAAATGTCAGCTTGATGAGATAGAAAATCTTTAAAGCAGGAAGCTAGACATTGGGGAGCAACAACGATGGCTGGAAACGGACGAGACCAAAACAGATCACTTGAAATAAAGAATTAAGATTTGATTGATCAAGATCCACAGTGACTTGGCTTTTTCAGATAACAGGTTTTGCATGGCTCTGTAACAGTCTTTTTCGTGATAAATAAACAAAGATTGGGATTTCCTTCTTTAGTTTAAACATGCGGTGGTTTTGTCAGATTGTTGCCCCTCAGTCGTGTTTATGTCATCCATGGTTTGCTACTGTTTTTTTCTCCAACAGAGCCTTTTGAATCATTATGTGAGAATGCAAGGGCTAACAATCTCTCAGGTACGTACTAGACTGGTTGGCTTTAAGTTAACGGAGTTCAAAGTCTTACGATGAACGTTTGTTATAAATCATTTCATATAAGCTGAATTCAACACCCATTTTGATTGGTTGTTCCTCATGATCTATTGGAGGACAGACAGTATGGAATATAGATATTGAGTAGATGACGTTTCGATCGTTAGTCAATTGCTGAGAACTGTAAGTTACTAAAAGGACTAGGTCAAAACATTTCGTTTTTTTTTTCCATTTGCACAAAATATTGTTTAAAAAAGTCCTTAAATCGAAGCAAGCCACAAAATTAAGAAATACTAAAGCGAAGGTGATAAACAAAGAAGGAACGAGAGTTTAGGAAGAAGGGGGATACGCTTTGCAAATGGCTAACTTGAAAATTTAGGTAAACATTTTCTAAAATCTTCAATTTAAATACTGAAAGAAATTGTCATAATTTACTATCAAACATGTCTTGGGTTGAAAGGGTAGAGGGAGGGCGGCAGGGTGAAACCACATATTGCCAACCTTGCTATCCCCTTAAAATTATACCTTAACTGAATCAACGATCGACATCTTCTCCCCCCCCCCTCCCTTGTTGCCTCCCCGTCCCCTAGGTTATGGCCTGTACGGTTTTCCGCAACTTGTCTGTTCCCTCAATGCAGATGATTCGTAAGAGCGTGGAAACACGGGACTGGCTAAACACGATTGAACCTCGGAATGTTCGTGCTGTTATGAAGCGAATCGTGGAGGACGTGACAGCTATTGATACACAAGTTGGACAGTTGTACGAGGAGGGTGTGCACAAAGCCCACAGTTCAGGTTTGTGGCTAAGAGTTCATCTCTTTCCATTAGTGAGGCGTATATAGTTAAAGACCTCGCTGGTGTCTCAGTAAGTCTTCATAAAGCACTCCTTGATTTTCCGATTCCAGCTGCAGATGCCAGGGGTTCGAAATTGTCCTAATAACAGAGTCTCGAAGTTGTATTTACATCTCATGAGACACTGTCTCAAGTGTTTTTAAATTTTTGTTTCAGACTCCAGTAAGTTTACCTATACATATCCAACCAAACCAAGCCGTAGTCAGTGGAGTTACACAGCCAGGTAACGCACGATTTAAGACAAATCTTTGCTTTTCAAAGAGAGCCTGTAGTTCTCGACTTCTGAAAATCTTGACTTCTAAATTAATTCTGATGTTATTTAATACCTAAATCTTTTTTTCCAGTCTTCTTTAAATTCTCTTGGACACTTGGAAAAATGAACATAATCACTGTTTGATCTCTTGTTCTTTGTTTCTTATCAGCACCGCATTCGATTCTAGCCTTCTCAGTAACATTCAGAAGCTGTTCTCAGAGAGAATCGAGATCTTTAGTTCGGTGGAATTCTCCAAGGTCTCTGTATTGACGGGAATTGTTAAGATAGGATTAAAGGTAAGACTGACAGTCGGTGTTTCCAGCAGTATTTTAACGACATGCTTACCTTTACGCAAACCGTTTTTACTTACTGGTGGACTTGAAGTGTTGTTTGATTTTTAAGACTCTTCTAGAGTGTGTGCGACTTCGGACGTTTGGAAAATATGGTTTACAACAGATCCAAGTTGACACGCACTACCTTGCTTTTTATTTTACAAACCGTTTTTGCTTACTGATGGACTTTAAGTGTTGTTTTATTTTAAGACTGTTCTGGAGTGTGTACGACTTCGGACGTTTGGAAAATATGGTTTACAGCAGATCCAAGTTGACACGCACTACCTGCAGATGTACTTATGGAGATTTGTATCCGATGAGAAGTAAGGGCAATTTGTATATATATGCCTGTCTCGTTTGAATTTAGAAACTGCCCAGAATATCGAAGCGTGAAATTCATTGGTTTGATACGCATTCCTCGTGGGAGACTGAAGAATTTTTCTCTGTCCTCAGCTCGTGACAATGGGCAAATTACGAATCACAATTTCCTTTAACCATTCATTCAGCTGACATCTCTTTTTTTTTTCCCAGTCCGGTGGATTTAGCCTTGTTATCGAGCGACCCTACGATTTTCGCCAGCTGCCCTCACAATAATCTTTTTTATTTGTCATTTGAGCGAATGGAATTGCGCTTTTCTTAATTCTTAAGTTATCATCTCCCTTTAATAAAATATTAAGGAGCCTAATTATGAAACAACAGCTGTTTACCGCAATTTTCACTACTAACTACCTTAATGACTCTAAGAAGTGTCGGCGTTCGCGAGTGAAGAATTTCTAGATAACTTATTAGTTTGTTTTGTTTTTTTAAATACAAGTTTGGTTCACTTCATGTTGGAAGAAGTGGTCAACAGTACCGTCAATAGATGTCTGTCACCAGAACTAATGGAACCCAGTGTGAGTATAGAATCGTCTTCCTCTGTTTCTTCAATGTCGTTGCATCACATCGCAGTAAATTGCTGTAATTTTATTTGTGCCGCTGTGAAATTTTCCTGACCCCCCTTAAACCCGCACTGGTAGTAAATTTTCTATAGTCCCCCCCCCCCCAAATCTTCCGACCACCCCAAGGTGATATATCACAACTAATCCCTAAGCTCTCTGGATTGTAACCCACAGGTGATTGAAGTGATCTGCGAAAGAGGGTGAGATGAGACGGAATGAAAGAATAAACTCAGTGCCTTACACCTTGTTCGAGAATTTGCAAATGCAGGACACTATTTGTCTGAAGATTGAAAGTCCGTCACTACACCATCAAATTCTTACTTCCTTCAATCGAATTCTCACCTGGCCCCGGTTGTTCGAAGGTTGGATAGCACTATCCATTGGATAAAACTCTATCCCATGGATAACGCTATACATTTTGCTGTCACTTATCCGCTGGATAGCAATTTATCCGTTGGATAGCGTTATCCGCCCTTTATACAACTGGGCCCTGGAGGACTCCACATTGATTGGATAGAGAGAGCAAATCTAGTTACAGTCCTACGTATCATATGGACAAGAGTAACAAACGAGTCGAACATTTCCAGAGTAGACCAAAATGACATTTTAATTGCTATAAGGTTTTCAAGATTTCATCTTTTGTCCAAGACAAAGAGCTCAGGATGATTGAAGTCGTATCATAAATATTGTTGACAAAAATTGAGCAAATAAAAGTATTCTGAATAAGACTTCCAAGGGACACAATTGAAAAGTCAAAGAATAGTAAAATATGTGTCGTCAAGAATTTTGCAAAATGACTTCTACTTTCCACAATGAGCTGGCATGGCCAACAGTCTTTAATGCACAGTGCTTTTCCTTTGACCTAAATCCTAGATAACTTGAATCTGGAACATGAGGTTGACACCAACAGCAAGGGGGAGACATTGTAGTGTAGGGGGTGGGGGGGGAGAGGTTATTTAAGGTAATATGGTATTTGATAATCAACTACCAGCTACTAGTGGTTTGGCTTCTTGAACATACCAGAGTAAAATTACCCTGTGAAAGTGCAGTGTCTTGCACAGGGGCACACACAGTAACCTGGTGAGAGTCCCAATCCAGTTTCCAGCTTACTAGTAGCCAGCAGAACAGGTGTCATTTTTGAGTGTGTGCTCCATATTTCCTTGGTCAAAATTGTGGCTGCCATCCTTGATTTTTATGAAGGGGTTGAATGGCTGCCATCTTTGATTTTCAGCAAGAGGTTGAATGATGGACACAATAAAGCAGTAGGGAGAGGGTGGAGCAATAGAAACTACATTTCTTTCTGCCTTTCCCTGCCCCCCCACCCCAACCCCACCTACTGTCTACTCTAACTCTACATAAAAGATGGCCAGTAAAAAATGATCATGCACTTGTTGTACAAAGTTATAAGACACCTGCACCATAAACTAGCAAACTAGCACAAAGTCACACATCTCTCTTAATGTAAAACATTTCTGTGCTTCAGAGTAAAGAAGGGACATTTTAGGGATTTTATTTAAAACAGTTGAAATACCAGTGGAGAAATACAACACTGAAGGTTACTGATCAACTGCTCTGACAGCAAATGATGTGAATTTGTGCTTCAGAGGACTTACACTTGGTAATTGTAATAAATGAGATATAGCTTCACATCTCTTACAAATAAAACAGTCACTGCTTTGAATAATTTATGAGTGACAAAATACAGCATCCAACTAATGAGGCAGTCTGAAGTAATACAATTAAGGTATTCACTAAATATTAAAAACAATCATCTTGAACTATATTATTTTTCAATCTCACTTTCAATTTCTTGCAAAGAATATCAGAAAGAAAACTAGCTTTCAGTAAAGGTCTTTCATCGTAGTAAAACAAATACCCTCCAGCATTCGCAGAACAATGATTTACAAAGTGTGAAAGCTGAAAAAAAATTTGCTCATTTTCACACAATGAAATCAGTTTTACTTGCACAGGGAATAAACAACAGGCGGACACTATCAAAATGATTGTCAAAGTATTAATTACATCTTGTCAGCCAGGGCTCGTTCATCCAAAACCTGAAACCAAGAAATTAAAGTCAAAAAACATCTCAATAGGACTTTCATTTATGCATTTGAAGCTTGTGCTAAATAACCCTTTGACCCCTACCGGTGATAAGCATTTGACTTCTCCCAGTAGTATCACCCCTGAATCAAACATTAAATTCATGAGAATTAAAGGAAATGGTTGCAAAATTACAAAGCCCTTGAGTACCCAGCTAATTCTCCTTGTAAGTATCATAGCAAATGTATAGAGAATGGTGTGGAGATTTTAAAAGCTGATGTTACAAAATTACAAAGCCCTTGAGTACCCAGCTAATTCTCCTTGTAAGTATCATAGCAAATGTATAGAGAATGGTGTGGAGAATTTAAAAGCTGATGTTACAAAATTACAAAGCCCTTGAGTACCCAGCTAATTCTCCTTGTAAGTATCATAGCAAATGTATAGAGAATGGTGTGGAGAATTTAAAAGCTGATGTTACAAAATTACAAAGCCCTTGAGTACCAAGCTAATTCTCCTTGTAAGCATCATAGCAAATGTATAGAGAATGGTGTGGAGATTTTAAAAGCTGATGTTACAAAATTACAAAGCCCTTGAGTACCAAGCTAATTCTCCTTTTAAGTATTATAGGAAATGTATAGAGAATGGTGTGGAGAATTTAAAAGCTGATGTTACAAAATTACAAAGCCCTTGAGTACCAAGCTAATTCTCCTTGTAAGTATCATAGCAAATGTATAGAGAATGGTGTGGAGAATTTAAAAGCTGATGTTACAAAATTACAAAGCCCTTGAGTACCAAGCTAATTCTCCTTGTAAGTATCATAGCAAATGTATAGAGAATGGTGTGGAGAATTTAAAAACTGATGTTAAGGTATAAAGGGTTAAGACAAAGTATTGTGGTATTACCTTTTTCAGGGTGCTGCCCATTTGAGCTGGTGATAAAGTCACAGTAACACCTGCATTTTTAAGAGCTTTTATCTAAAGTGAAACAATGATCACTGCAGTTAGAGCTAAATTGTAAATTGAACATAGGCCTAAATGACCATTTTGTGTGAATATCAATATCAATGAACAATCAGCTGAATTCTGTTGGTAGAGTTTGATGTCAATAATAATTATCATCACTATAAATACATGAAATATTTATATATTTGTACCTTAAGTTCAGCAGTTCCTTTACCCCCTGCAATAATTGCACCAGCATGACCTGTAAACAGTGCAAAGAAACAACATCAGTCAAGAAAGAAATTATCTCCAAAACAATCCTAGCAATTTTGATTCTGATTAATTTTTTGATGATCTGTCTACCATGTAATTGGCAAATGGTCCTGTTGATGTTCATATACAGTTTTGTGAGACTTAGGTGCCTTTGTTACCCATGTGCCAGTTAGGTGCTATATGATAAGTCCTTTCTCCTAACTGTTAACAAAATGTTTCTGATGTACTAACAAAGTTCTTATCAAAAAAAGTCGCAAACTATCTAATTCTCAAAATTTTTCATTAACCCATAAACTCCCAAAGGTGATTAACATGTAACTTTCCCCTACAATATTCAGCAAACTGGTTTTGAGAATACTCAAACCTGTCACATACAGTAGAAGTGGTTATCTTGACCTAATACCAAATTCTTGGAATTTATTTACAAGGAAATTTTTTACAGCTAGAGGGGAGAATTAACAACTAGATATTGGGAGCTAAAGGTTTAGTTCTTGTTAATATTTCTTTAAGACAAACTCAAACTCAAACTCACTGGTACAATTCAGGTGTCTAATTGAAGGCATCTAATTTCATATTGCCCTACTGTTGCAGTCTTAGCCAATTTTGTAATTACCGGTACATGACTAAGTATACCACAAACAATATACATGTATGATGCTGTCAAGGCAATGATATGCACTGAATAAGGGGGTAATTTTTCATTGCAAATGTCAGCTGTTTTAAGAAAGGATATAAGTCAAAAAATTCATCAAACCCACCATGCCTTATCCTTACAATGACATTTTCTCAGATTTCCCTGGAAACTTGAGGTCAAGAAACTGTGACCTAAAAACACGCTAACCTCAATAACTTTTGGAGCTATTGCATGCACTTTGAAGCCTTTTTGCAAACCTTTCTCCAAACAGTTGTAAACAGCTGTCTACTGAGTAGAGAGCAAAAAATGGCCAAAACATAACAACAAAAGACATAAGATCCTCCTCACCCATTCTCCTTCCAGGAGGTGCTGTTACTCCAGCAATAAATGACACTACAGGCTTGGCATTCTCCCCTTGATTATGCTGTAGAAGAAACTCGGCTGCTTTTTCCTCAGCACCTCCTCCAATCTCACCGATTAGGATAATACCTGTAATAAACCAAAATTATTTGTTTGGAGCAATTATAAATTCAGCGTCATATGATAAGCAGAATTATACACTCATTTTGATTGGTTCTTACCTATAAACAACATTTTTTTTATCATTTAGAATAAATAGATTCCATGGTACTGTGCCTCTGTACAGGGACAGATCACAGAATGTGATAAGAACATATGCAACACACTCAGCAGAGCCTTGTGTGCCACTTATTTGATCTTTAACTGAACAGATGCACTGTAACATGGAATCTTTGTCAATTTTAACACCTGAACCTAAATTCAGTAAGAAAGAGTAACTCATATGACATTGTTTATGTAATAGAAATTAATAATTCTTGGAATGTAAGAATCATTTATCAATCAATTCTAATTTTCAACAAACCCTAACCATAACCCTAACCTATCACATGTGTTTTGTTTACAAAAATTCTAGAGAGAATTGTGTACTCTTTTCAGTTTAATGAACATCATGGGAGAAGAGATAACAAGACAATGTATTATATGATTATGTGAAAAATGATGTTAATTAGCAAAGCAAATTGATACCTTCTGTCTCTGGGTCTTTTAAAAACACATCTAGGCAGTCCATAAAGTTTGTTCCATTAAAAGGATCTCCACCAATACCTGTGATTAACATATGGAAAATGAGCAAAACCTACCAAGGAGCTAATATTTCTGTTAATAGTGTAAAATAGCAGTGGGTAAATTACTGCAATCAGATGAAAATTCTAGACATACATGCAATGACATTTTATCAAAAAAGTCAAATGAATACAACAATTTTATCAATATCAGAAATCCATTTCAACAATTCTATATCCTAACAGAAATAACTGTGTTTCTTCTCACATATACCCTGGATGAGCCTTGATAATTCCCTAACTGAAGATGAAAATTCTAAAACCTTACAATTATTCCTACTTACCTACACACAGAGACTGTCCAAGGCCAACCTCTGTAGTCTGATGGACAGCTTCGTATGTTAGAGTTCCTGATCTTGAGACAATACCTGGAACAAATGCAGAGCAATTCCTCTGTTAGGATGTAACAAGAGGTAAGACAAAATTCATATCTAACTTGTACTTAACTATCTCCAATTACTTTACTTTTCATGAGACAAATCGGCTGATCATGCAACCACCCACTTGTTATTTAGCCTGTAAATGCATCACTGCTCTGTTACTACCCTAAAGCATATAAAGCATTCCACTCAATTTAATTTCACGTGCAGTGATGAAAATGAACAGTCATGTTGGTGAAAATTGGCGCGTAAATTTCTACATTGAAAAGCCACACATACAGAAGAAGTAGAATGAAGAAGTTTAGTTTACTGACCTATTTTTCCAGGTTTGTGTATGTGACCCGGCATAATACCAATTTTACACTCTCCTGGCTGCCAAGCAATGGACAGCAAATCATATAAGTTGAAAGAAGGATAGAAATAGTTGTAACTAACTACAATGAAACACTATCAATAAAATAGATAATACTAGTAATTGGATTTTCCAAAACAGTGATTGTAAGTTTTGTACATAGGTATAAACATTTTCAACTTAAACAAAGACATTATCTTCTCCTCAAATTAAAGTTAATGTAATTACCTTGATTATTCCAGGGCAATTAGGACCAACCATTCTACATCTATCTTGCCGTTCTAGTGTGTGTTTGATTTTCACCATATCTTTTTGAGGTATTCCCTCTGTTATGCACACAATTAAACCAATTTCAGCTTCAATTGCTTCTAAAACAGCAGCTGCAGCAAATGGTGGTGGTACATACACTACAGTGGCATTTGCACCAGTTGCATCCTTGGCCTAAAAGAAAATTGTTTAAAGTTTAACATGAGAGTTTCCTGTAAAGTTCTGAAATCACAATCCTCTGACAGTTTAGAAGAAAATAGTTATAAATGCTTCAAAAGATGGTGGGGGGGGAGGGGGTGGGGGTGCAAACTAGCAAAGGGGCAAAACCTGCTACAAAACCTGCATAAATTATATCAATGACAAGCACACCTTTGGTGGCTATTTTGTCAAGAAAACCAGGGCGATTCCACAGGAGTAGCTATAATCCTAAAATATTACAGTGAGTACATATAGACTTTGGTAACAGCACTGACTACTTTTGACAACCCCCATGAAGTGTCTCAGGTCACCATCTTACCTCTTTCACACTATCAAATACAGAAAGCCCTAAGTGAGACTGACCACCTTTCCCTGGAGAAACACCTCCAACCATCTGTGTTCCATAAGCAATTGACTGTTCACTGTGGAAAGTTCCCTAGTAAGGTAAAGCAAAGCACAAGTTGCTAGATCAGTTTTAAGACCTGTTTCAAGAGAATTCAAATGGAGTCATGGAAAGAAGCAACAAAGAAAAGGACAAATACTTAGGAAGGAGATCAGAGAATTAAAAGTTAATCAAAGGCCACTATTTTCCAAACTTAATTCCGAGAAGAAAACATTCTAAATATTTTACATTATTGAGTTTACATGTTGTGCTTTAAAATGACTTCAGACTAAAATAATTTCACACTAGTTTGATTGTAACTTTCCTATTTTTTTGGACTATGGTAATGCATCAAGTGCAAAGGAAAATTGCAATTCAAACTGGCTCAAGATCATTTTGACCTGAATTTTTTTCAAAATTCAAACAATATCATCATCCATGGAATGTTTTAAGGTTTTAAAGTTTTTTTTTCAAAATGTCCAACTTCCTTCTGGATAATTGTTTTTCTCTATGCAGTCAAACTTTCTTATCACTATTAGTGACAGAGGGTAATGGTAAAATATTCCGATGACTAAGTGGTTCAAGAAGTTTGGAATTGGCTGTGGCTATCCATTTAGGAAACCAGATCAAAACTTAAACTTGCTTTTTTCTTATCGTTGACAGCCATGTGACCTGATAATATTATATTTCTTTATCAAATTATCTGGTTGAGTTTATCATACCTGTTTTCCAGTAAAGCCTTGACAAATAACTTTGGTGTGTTTACCAATCAAAAGATTATTCCTGGTACTGTCATAGTTGTGGCGAATTCCTATTTGTTCTAGGCTGACACCTGTATTGGTGAAGTATTATGAAATGAAGGCATCAGTAACATGTGCTATTTATCAATCATGCATGTTCCCAAATATTTATGAAGTCAAGTAAAAACCTTTCTTACTTACAGCCACATATTCCAAGAAGGATCAAACAGGAAAGAAAAGTAACAATGATTTTCATTCTGAATGTGGAGTTCAGAGAAGAACTCTACATAATCATAATAATAACTTTCTGCAAAAGCAGTAATAGAAGACATTGCCAAGGAAATGAGACTGTACATATCTTAATACAATGCAAAAGATATACAGATGTGAAGATTGCTTCTTTAAAAGTAAGTGTCATAATGAAAACATATCAATGTCAAGTTTCCCACAATTTCCATGAAAAACAATTTATGGGCATGAGATTTCTCAATGCTTCCAATAAGGAAAGGTGAGAAGATTAAGGAAGGGGAACGGTTGAACTAGTACGGCCAATAAACTACAACCGTTATCTGTACAATTTCTGTGTACTTTTGCAACACTATAGCTTATTCTCGGCAACTTTTCAAAACCAACCAGGTTGTTAATTGCATCTTTTTTTTAAGACTCGACGTCCATACAACCATAGCAAGTAAGTGCAAAGTATAGTTATAATGACAAATACTGAGCTGAAATTGTCTGCTATGAGAATTTCACCGTGACATTTGCAAGAGCTGCAGGCAGAAACAGACGTGTAAGACTGACAGGCCCTCGGCTAACAACACCTTTACAGCTATGCAAAATTATAAAGACTTCAGTGTATCTTTCAAGAAAGCAATGGCAATATAATAATATGGCTCACCAAATCGACGAAGTGCCACGCGAAACGCCATCTTGGAAAGACACCTGCCCGAAAGTCTATGCGAGCCAGAACGATCAAACTTGCAAAGAACTATGGGACGTGGCAAGTTCAGGCAGATAAAGCGCGGTTAGGTTTGATTGTGAGAATTGTGTTTATTTATGTCCGAGTGTTGTAATGGATTTTACTCCCGAAGAACTTGATCTCAGCTCCCCTTGCTTACTGGTGGAGAATTCTCAGTCTCAGGAAACCGAAACAATCTTTCGATCGGACAGTGCGTGTGATTTGGCGATTCTGAAACAGTTGACTCGATTGTCAACCAGTCGGACGGATCCTTCAGCGGGCATCTCTTGTGACCATCCGTCGTTTCCTCGAAATTGTGCCGCTATAAGTTGTTCTACTACTGGAGGAGAGGGTGTAAGAAGAGAGGAAGGTGAAAAAAGCCGGCAACCGGACGATCGCGGCCAACATGGACAAGGACGTGATAGCAGCGGAGGTAATGATAGAGGAGGTAGCGATGGTGGAGGAGGTGATGATAACGGGAGTAGGGATGGGGGCGATGAAGGTGGCGGAGGGGATGCCGGTGGGGGGGACGGTGGTGGTGGTGATGATAATGACAACGATGAAAATAACGAGCAAGATCCCAGTGCAAATGAGGAAGAATCCCCTCATCCAGACGATCCATCCTCTTCAAGTGATGCACTACCAGAGCTAATTCGCCCTCCAGAAGTTGCTACCCTCTCAGAACCACTGGTTCGAGTTGTGGTAACAGATTCAACACCTCCCAGACAACATGTTAGTGGGGAAGGAAGAGGAAGTGTTCATGACTTTAGTGGAGACAATTACAGTGAGGCGTCAACTGGTGTTGTTGGTGAGGGGGCTGATGTTGCTTCTGACCTTAGTGAAGTATCTACAGCCCCTGTGGATGAGGAGAAGAAGTCAACATGCTCATCAAGCGTTGGTAAGAACACTGATTGCATACTTTCCTATTCCTCTCTGTATAGGTTTCAAACTAAAAATACAAGCAGTAACCTCCAATCTAAAACCAATCTAAAATCTCTGGGTCCTTTGAATTTGGACTTGTATCACCAATGGCTTTTGATGAGTATTTACATTACAATTGCAACTTACTTTGCTCAATACACAGGACATAAGTCTGATCATGGCTCAGCCATGAGCAGCAGCAGTTACCATGGAGATCTCAGCAACTTGTCTAGTGAAAGTGGCTCCCAAGTATCCCCAGAAGTGCGTAAACACCTTCCACAATTACTAAGGAAACAGTCAACCAGTGATACTAGCACTAGCAGTGCTGCGTCGAAAGAGGAGAAAGTGCATGCCACAGTTACTGGTTATACGCTGTGGTCAATGGAGGAAGAGCAAGAAGGTTGTTCTTCCCAAGAGGACATGTTTGCCTCTTCTCAAGGCCATCAGGAAGGGACAACAAGACCAAACCTTTCGGTTGACTTGAAGTTACCACAACACCAATCCACTCCAGTGGATGACAAAAACAGCAGAGAATCACATCCTAGTGAGCGATCACTGTACAAGCAGGTGTTCACTTCCAAGCAACGTACATCAACACCAGTTGAAGGTGGTGGTGGATTTTTCTGCACCCCTCCCTCTCAAGAAACACCAATTGACAATGTGGCTTTTCAAAGCTTGCAATTTTCTGGAGAGCCTAGTGTCAGGGTGTCTTCATCTTCATCATCAGATAAAGTGCATCCTTCACCTGATGCCTATAGCTCAGTTCAAGACTTACATCCATCCTCCCCAACAGCTGCTGCTGAAGAGCAAGTAGAAAAGAAAAGTAACAGGTAAAAAGAAGGAAGATCCAGATCACAGGGTTAGGGGGAACCTTTTCTCAAAAAAAAGAACCTGTTTCCCAAACTTAAACAAATAACCAAGGTGCACTCGTGGTTTGCAGAGGAAGTATGATAATTTTTTTAAAATAAAGACCAGAGATATGCAATTAAAAAATGGTGACCCACATGAGCAGTGAGTCAGAACACTATGTGAATCAAACTTTAATTTCCTTCAATCTATAATCATAATAAATTATTTATAAGGGAGATGCAATGGCCTCATGGTTAGTGCACTGAAATCTTGGTCAACATATCTGGGTTTGAGACCAAGCCAGGTCATTGTGTTGTGTTCTTGGGATAAACTCTTTTATTTCACAGAACCTCTCTCTAACCCAGGAATATAAATGGGTACTGATAAATTGTCAGAGAAGCCTGATGAAATGCTGGAATGTAACTGTGCAATTTACTAATATCCTATCCAGGGGCTCTAGTCATACTTCTAGTAGCTTCATGCCAAGGAAACCAGGACAGGTTCTTTAGTATTATCAGTTGAGTTGGTAACATAAATTGGCCAGGTTCAAAGCTGATGGTGGCCAATTTAGGTTATCAACTCAGTTGATAACACTGAATTACCCTGTTACACTCTCTTACCAATGCAGCTATACATTTTTTGTAAGGAGCTTACCCCCTTTATTCTGGATAGGTTCTGGCTGGCCAGACAGCTTAGCTCAACTACAGCTGTTTTTTTGTCTAATGATACATGTGATTTACTATGGTGAAGTACCAGAAGCCATTTGAATTTCATATATCTTTTCATGAATGAAATTATTCATGGATAACACACAGCAATGTAGTTCTTGTTGTAAGTATTATATTTATGATAATTCATTTCTATTTAGGAAAGAGGGAACATATGAGAAAGGGTGTGAAGACAGACAGACTCAAAAATCCAAAAACATCAAAGAATCTGTAAAAAATGATGTGGAGAAGGAACAGTCAGAGATGTCAAAAGCAGCAGCAGAATTGTTGCAGTCATTTGATATGTCACAAAGCCAAGAAAGACATTTGGAAAAGCCAGCATCTCTAAGACTCAGAGAATCATTAGATGATGAAAGAGTTGAGTTACCTCTCTGGCAGCAAAAGCAACAGCAAGAGGCACTCCAGCAAGCCAGTGACACCAATGAAAAGAAGTCAAGTGACACTTCCTCAAAAGGTTCATCCAGTGAGGACTCATCTAAGGGTGAATCATCACCTCAACTGCAGCAGTGGCAGCCAGTTAGTAGTGCTTTGAGTAACAGCAGCCTAGGATCCACAGGTTCAAAAGGAAAATATACAGTGCTGCCACCAAATGGCTCTAAGGAGCAGTGTGTACCTTTCATAAGTGGTAGCTTTCTTGACAGTCCTAGGCATGAGCCACTAATTTCTGATTTACCAGTAGATCACCCTAAGCAGAGCTTACATGAAGAACAGTTGTCATTGTCTCCATCCTCACTAATAATACATCCCTTTGAACCAAGCAAAAGTAAGGCTGAAGGTACTGAAGAAAGCCCTGCTGTGCTGCCAGGTCCCACACAACCAGAGATGAGTGAGGATATGTTCTTTCCTGTAATAAACCAGGAAGGCAAGGAACAGAAAAGTATTTCAGGTATTTCATAATCTCTATCTTGCTGTATATTTAACAAATAGATCATGTGTTGCAGTGTGTCTGTTGGTAAAAACAAACAAGTGGCAGACAAGGCACAGCTGAGTGTGTTTCTGATATTCTTATCACATTTTTATGTCTCCTGTGATCTTTTCCTAATTATACAGACCAAGCATATCATGGAATCTATTTGTTTTATATGTCAAAAAAAGAAAAATGTTGAAATTGGTGATGTTAGCTATAACAGCTGTCCTCAAATAGATCATAAATAAGAACCAATCACAACACAAGTATAATTGAGCTTATCATATAATATATTATATTTCTAATTCTCAAAGTCTATATACACCTGTGGTTACACGTTGAAATGCAGCTGGTGAAATTAGGATATTGGCTTCTATTAAGAGAGATGTAGAGAAAAACCCTTTGATCACAATTATTAGGAACAAACAACAAATGGAGACCACATGTGACACCAAGTTTGGAATTTACATAGGGGCCACTGTGGAGGCAGACAATTTCCATCCCTGCTTCCCAAAAAGGCATTGAATGTATGCACAAGAGAACTGTGGACCTTAAGTTGACAGACTAGATGTAGTTGCAAAATCAGTGAAACCATTGAATTGCCCAGTTCTGTTTGATTATTTTCCTTCCAGCTGTTATATATTTTAATTTGAAATTGATTTAGAGAACTTAGAGATATATCTTAATAACAACCCCAAGTGGAAAAAGCAGTGAATCCTCATCAAGTGTCTGAGATGGTGTGTCAAAATTGTACAAAGTTAAATCTAAATTACCCTGGTGAGTCAAAGCTGTTTCACGAATTTTTTTTTATCAGATGAATCTCCTGACCAGCCAATGGAAGAACAAAATATTCAAGAGGTCTTAGATTCTCAAGACATAGTGATGCCGTTCTCATTGCACCTGACTCAGTCGCAGTTGGTCATGGGAAGCCAGATGCCATCAGATACCAGCCAGGGACTGGAGGGGATTCAGGAGGTAAAACAACACAGAGAATGATAGTTTCTCCTTACAGTTTCACCCTTGATTCAAGTATTGAGGTCATGAGAATAAAGGAAATGATCACCAATTTAAAAAGCTTTTAATTGTCTATCGAATTCTCCTTGTCAGTACTATGGAAAATGTAAAGAGAGAATATAAATACGAATGTTAGAGTGTAAAGGGTTAAAATCCATTTGTATTACACGCTTGTCTGTAAGTTGACATTGTGAGGAGAAGTTTAATTTTAATCATTTCTTGGAGTTTAAACGTTGGGAAATGCTTGGTCAGAAAGGTGGAGGCAAATACTGGACCCCTTGGAACTTGTCCAATTTTTTTTTTCAATCTTTCACAGGATGTGATTGTCAGTGAGGTGACAAATAACGTCACCGAGTGCAAACTGGCAGAAACAATTCAAGCTGAAGAGGCAAGTACTTTGACAAAACAAGACTCCGGCAGCCAGTCCATTTTGGCCCCTTTGGGAAGACAATTTCCTACAATGGCTCTTGCCCAAGATGATAATGACAAGGAACAGCTGACTATGAACGTTCCAACCAAAGCACCGGAGAATCTTGTGAGATCTACTGACGGCATCGACGAAATTCATCGAGACCAAGGTACCTACCCCTTTACGGATAGGGGCGATGTAATCCACCCTCCAGAGAAGACTGCACCTGTTGAAGAATCAGGGGGTGTCACTCAACCTGTGGAGCAGGAAGCGCCCGATGATCTTATACAAGAACAGGCAAGCATACCGGAGAAGGGAACTGAAATGATATTCTGGGAGAAAGACACTTCTGATGATCTTGAAAAAGAACAATCAAGCACAGCAGGCGTTCATGCAAGAAAACCGATAAAACCAACGCTCCCAGCAGCAATATTTTCAGAATCCTCGAGTGACTCTGGTACAAGTTTCCACTTTTCCTTACCAAGGGAGCCGCTAAGACCACTGACGTCTACCACTCCACCCCCCTTCAGACCCGTTAGTCCGGACACTCCAGACTCAGAGGAGAGGAGTAGCCGACGCAGTACTATCCCGGATGTGGCTCTTCCTGTGGTTAGAGAGACGCCAGGGATGTCTAGCCAAGGTATTTTTGAAATCTTTTACGTGGTGTGATTTCTCACCACCATGAGAGAGTCGGGACAATTGATCAAATGATCGGCAGATCCTATTACCCTACCATTACACGTTAGAGAAGGGGAAAGTGGAGTTACTCAAACTCACAGCAGTATTTTTCAATGAAAGTTATTACGGTGTAATCTTGTATGAACAAGAGCCTAAGTCATAGAAAATGCTTCTTCGGTGATGCGTCATTTATTACGATAGATACCGAGAGTGCGAAAGGAAACTCGCTGACTTCGATCGGGTTCAAAGTCGAATACAGTCAAGTTAGGGAAAAATACCACAGGCAGCCAAGACATTATTGTCTTGGTAGTCAATAGTTCCTGAAAGTCTTGAAGAACAAAAAAAAAGGTTTCAACTTCTCTTTTGATGTTGGGCATTAGGACGAAAAACATAATTTTCTTATCCTGTAACAAACCTGATGGACACAGGACTTGTAGTGGGGGGGGGGGGGGGAGAGGAGGGGCTAGGGAGATTGAGCTCACATATTTCCAGAGTAGCTTCAGAATTCTCCCAAAGGTCATGACTTTTTCAATGACATTAAGTCTTTTTTCTCCGTTCAGAGGTAGCCTTCCATTTCGAGCCCAGCCAACCTCGGGCTTCTACATCCACAGAGAGCTTAGACCGTCCTCACTCCAATGCCCCAGTACCCCCGCGATCAATATTTAGTCGCGCTCGAAAAGCCATCGCCAAAACTAAGGAGAGAGGAATGAGAGAGGTCCAAAGCGACGACGATCCGTTTGCATTTACCGCCGAAGATGATGTACCAGAACCCGTGCGAAAAAAGCCAAAAAGAGGATCTCCTCGTGGGACGCGTGGAAAAGAGATTAGACCAAGAGCAGAGGTCAAAAATATCACGAGCACTAAAAGAGTTCGCGAAGAAAGGGAGGCTTCCTCTGAGAGCGAAGGATTAGAGGAAGCACTCTCAAAACGATTCAGAAGAGAGGATGATGAACTAAAGCCTGACAAAGGCGAGGCGGTAAAGGCTACATCATCAGGTGCCGTACACTACAAGCAAATCATGCGCACATGCACTGTAACCACGGTAACGACTCAAGTGAAACGAAATGTAACTATGACCATCGTCGATGAGGAATCAGGAGAAGTTGTGCAGGTTTTCACCTTTGAAGAAGATGGGGAACCGAAAGTGGAGAGCCAAGAGGAGGAGAAGGAGGAAGTCACTAAATTTGTGGAGACTTCCAACGTCGACGGGTCTCGTGTAACAGTTACTGCGAAGACACCGAAACAAGATGAGCTTCAGCAACAAAACAGAAGTTCTCCGCGAAGGAAAAGTAGTAAATCACCAGCTTCTAAACAAGCAACGCGCGCTTCTGGTAAAACGCAGGCCTTGGTAACCTCCGGTCAGGGTGATTCTGATAGAAGCTCGGAAGATGGAAGTAAAGGACAAGATGACAACCAACATACTAGGGGTGAACCCACAGAAATCCCTTCGATCTCAAGGCAGGATACCGAACCAATTTTAGAGAAGGAGTCAAATCACAAACGCTCCTCATCGAGTGACTCCTCTTTGACTCCTGGAACCCGCGTGTTAGCGAAGTGGTTGGACGGTTACTTCTATCCAGGAATAATCACTGCAAAGCAGTACAAAAACGGACGATACTCGGTAACCTTTGACGACGGCGACAAACGAAGGATTCCACGTGAAAACCTTATCATCAAGGATTTATTGCCGGTTGGGCAGAGTGTCATGGCTCAAGGGGATCTTGTAGATGACTTCTATGAAGAAGGGGTGATCGTGGGACATTATCGAGATCGAAACGCACGCGGTTACGAAATACAGACCCAGAATGGTGCAATACGCCGGTACCCACGGAGTAGAATTATTTTATCGGAACAGCAAGCCGTAGCTGTTTTATCCAGTGATAGTTCGTTTAGCGTCACAAGTGGTTCCAGTGTCAGTATTGGAGCACATAGCTTGAGGCGAGCAGGGAGCAGTAACGTTAGCCTACACGATGTCTCCAAGTCGGGTGGCATAGATGCTAAGGACACCTCACGAGACACTAGCTCTAAAGACACGAGCCCGAATGACGAAAGAACGCAGGAAAAAAATGCTGATCGCGCCTCACCACGCGTTGGCCCAAGACGTTCAAAAGTGGCGTCCGCCGACATGGATATCACGCCTAAGTCTACACATAAGTCGTCACATAAGATCAAAGCACAGGCTAGACGTGCGGGACATAGGATTGGTGAGAGCGAGTCGAGTTCAGATGAGCAGCATGGTAAGGCTGGCGGCAAACGACGATATGTTAGGAGAGGGTTGTCATCCACGTATGGTCCCAAATCACCTGCGAGGCCCGTTGGCACGATACCGGCTCAACCTGTGAGAGGACGCACGCCGCGTAAACAGATAAGCGACAGAGAGGACACTGTCGAAGCACCACATCTACCAAGGAACAGGAATACTTTTGCTGGTTTAGCCTTTCTAGTGACAGGCGTGACCAGAGACAAGGATGAGCCTGAAGAGACGGACAGTGAATCGGAGAGAATTGACTTTAATCGCCATCACTTGAAACGTCAGATCGAGGCTGGTGGTGGCGTCGTGCTGTCCTCGTTTCCTCAATCACAGATTTCTGGCGCAGAGTGCTTCTTGATATCCCACACACACCAACGGACACAAAAATATTTCCAATCCCTCGCTTCTGGAATTCCGTGTGTTTCACACATGTGGATAAATGATTGTTGCGCTTGTGATAAGCGTTTGGACTACAAGAAGTACTTGCTCCCTGCGGGAGAAAGCCTAGAGGCCGGGGAAATTGTAGAATGCCGGCCGAGAAGAAACATTTTGGGCGACATGCGAGTAAGTGATATTATTCTCATAATACCCGTGCATCAGTCCAATTTTTGTAGAAAAATAACGCCTACAAGGCAGGCGTAAATAGGGGAGGGAAAAGAAAGGGAAAATCGGAGAAGGGGGAAGTAGAACGAGGACTTCGTGGCTCGTACTTTTAGTGTCTTTCCCCCCTTCCTCTTTGCGCCTGCCGTGCAGGTAACGGGAAATTGCGTTACCCATTTACATTAAACCAGGAAAATATTGAAGCTCAAGAATCCATGAGGGGCTGGTAAGATCATGCATGCTTCCACAACCATGAAAACGCATAGCTATCTGTATGTGACTCATGAAGGTAATTATTTCATCACCTTGAACTTTTAAAAAGAAAAAATTCCTCTTTCTCTGTGTTCACTCCTTTGGAAAATCGGCTGTAAGGGCAGGTTGTCTTTGGATAACGATGTACATGTAGCCCCTTTGATTTTTATTGTCCTTACCCATTCAGAGTTCTTCCTAAAGGTCTAAAAACTTGTTTCGGTGCTATTTAGAGAATTATGTTCAAGGAAAAGGGAATTCTTTAAAGTTGCCTAACCATGCATCTCCTAATATTCTCTCATTATTCGGTTTTGTCATTCACAAGGTCTATCTTCACGGGAGCCAGCAGTTCAAGGACACTTGGTCCAGCGTGTTGCTGGCTGCGGGATGTAGGATGGTCGCCAAGCTTCCAGGCCGCGTTGATTACGAATGCGATGTTATCATCTGCGAGGATCACAAGCTTCCTGCGAGTGTCAAACACGCCGCTAATCTGCTTGCGATTCCTATTGTCTCACTGGAATGGCTTCTACAAACACTCATCAACGGTCGACAGGTTCCTTTTGATGGTCACCCGAAGTATGATTATCGGTGTAAGAATTCGTGACCTTGGTCAGAACGCGTGACTAAGCAAGATGTAACCAACCTGAGACTGCCAGTCAGCATGTGAGAGGCGGTACTGCGACGTGTTTTCTTTGGAAGTGTTTCTAAAATCGTAACTATGGCAAAGGTAACAGAAGTGAGATGACTTTGAAATTACCCATCGATTTTCAGTATTCGTGTGATTTCCAAACCTCATAGATCGAACTCGGTAAGTGATGTCAATATCGACCCACTTTTGACACGGTCGGCCTGCCATTCGTACCAATTTAGATGGCAATCGAATGTGCTATGGTGTTTAAAAGATGGAAATATGTGGGTCGCATGTAAAGATAGATTGGGAATGTGTGGCAATTGAAAACAAAAGCAAATGATACTTGACTCTGAGAGGGTTTCAATTGTTCTGGAAATTTAATTTCCGTTAAATAATAGTCTAAATCAGTGTTCTCCCTTATTTTAAGCATAACAGGTATAATAAATTTTCAAACCGGTAAAGGAATCCTTCTACCTGTTGAATTTTTAAGAATTCCAAGCAATTTTAAACGGTATTAAGAGGTACTACAGGCGGTAAATTTTACCGGTTACTGTCTGAAAAGGAGAACACCGAGTCTAAACCATGCTTTCTTGAAATTTTGACCACTATACTGTTTTAATGTTTGTAAAATATGATTTTAGCAAGACTAAGTCATAGTAGTAATATCACCAGATCAAATTATTCTCAGATTTTAGCATTAATGAAATATTACCTACGGTACTAATTGAAATACTTTTTGTCGTCAGGGCAAGAGAAAAATAAATTTTAGCGATAATTATTACAAATGGTAGAGTAAATCTCATTTTCTAGTTATGCAATAAATTCACTCTTTTTGCTAAATTATTTTTAAAATATGTTTTCTGTTTCTTTTGAGATTTTAATAATTTTATCGAGCTTACAGTCCTTAAAAAACAGTCTAATTAGTTTTTATAGTTTTAATGTTTTTTTTCCTTCGCTGTTCTTCGTCGGCATAGTTCTAATGCCTTTTTTTTTAATAGAAAACTTTTGATAGATTATATTAATTTTTACTTTTTAAAGTATAGTTTCTGGGCGCCGAGAGTGACACTGAAATAATTAACACGTTTCAAATAAAGATATTATGGTCTGGTTTGAAAGTGATAGAGAATTAAAAATTATGGAAAACGCAATAAAAAAGGGCCTGCTTTTGGCCTTGTGCGAAAACGAACATGCAACTTCTGTAAAAAAGAAAGTTCGAAAAAAAGATGTGGAATAAAGATTCACAGAACCTAACTTGAGTCGTGTTTATTCCTTGTCTTTGTCTTCAGCCCTTTAACTCCCATGAGTGACCAAGACAGAATTTCTCCTCACAATATCTATACAATATCAACCAGATAAGTAATGAGAATAAAGAAAAATATCAATTTAGGGATAATTGGTTGATCCAATGCTAAATTCTCTGAACTAGCATTCTAAGAATTGTATGGTTGACAGTAAGGAGAATTACAAATTTGATCTGGGAGTTAAAGGGTTAAACCAAATTTTCTAGGCTATTATGGAGGGTGTCTGGTAGAGGAAACATTTTGGCCATAAAACTTGCAAAATTCGCCACAAACTGGCGTTTGTTCGGCATTTTCCCCTAATGAAACTTCTTAATCTGGGCGGTTTTGTGACAGAGTACCCTTCTTGTTGGTTCAATAAATTTGCCATTTAGAGTAAATCCAAGAGCCAATCAGATTGCGAAGATCATCAGTGATTTCAGAATAGATATAAAAGGGTACTGTAAAGAGGTTTTCCTCATCGCGCCTTGGTAGAGTCTTATGCTCGGAAAGAGTATAGCTTTGATAACTTATACAGGTTAGGATATCAAATGTTATGCTCAACAACGATTTGCTGTTCCGACGATTTCCGAAGATCTACGGAAACGAACCGAAAGGTCCCAACGTCGCTGCAAAAGGATGACTAAAATGTCAATTTGTGGAGAGTTGGAGAAATCAGTCAGATGTAGCTATGTTCTTTTTTTGCGACTATCTGACCTTTTATTTTACTTCACGTATGAATTAAGGTTCTCCTACAGACATGATTAAAAAATGCTAGCTTTAATAATGGACACAGCCTTATTACTAGTGACACAAATATTGACATCTGCTGACGTATATTTCATCTCAAGTCTAGGCAACGGAAATTTGAATGGAAATCCAACTTTTTTACTCGAGTTGATTACTGTGTCCTGTACCGGCTGAAAAGCTTTCATTTGACTAGGGAAACTTGGAACACTTTCGTGAACGTAGATTAACTTCAAAAGTGAGACGCCTTTATTACCGCCAAAAATAGTTCGGCACTACGAAATTTCATTTGCAACAAGGGCAAGGTAAAAGTAATTATTTCTTTCTTTAATAGGTCTGAACCAAAAGTGATTGCGGATACCAGAGGAACTTGACATACAAATCAAATCTAATTTATTTTCCATGATGACAGAATTGTCAAGCTTAGGCTAATGTACACCGTAAAAATACATTTGAACGCAACTAAACTCTTTGGTTTTCTTTATCATTTCAATTAAAGCTGTTTTTGTTCTCTCGCTCTCTCTCTCTGTATCAAATGAATTGAGAGAGAGTTTTTAAAAATAGCTAGACACATATAACTACAAGTATGGCAACAGTATAGTTTCTTTTCTTTACAAGACACGGTTCGTAATGTTGTTTTCGACGGCTCCATCTACACCCCTTTTGCAACTCACTATCTTGAGAATTTCTATTCGAAATGTTCTGTTCAGAATTCCATAAATAACAGAATTTATGGCACTAGAACTGAATACCAGAAAAGCCCAGAGGGTTTGGGGGAAACGCTGGTCTGAAACAGCGGGATAAGCTAGCTTGACGTAAGAAATACTGTATGCCGGGAGCCAACAACAGAAATACCCTGCTATCAGACCTAGAATGATCTTGCTAATCTTTATATCTTCCAATGCATGGGCACTTCTTTGCAAACTTCCAGTGCGAAGCGAGCGTAAAGCTACAGTATTGTGTCTACGAACGCACACCAAAACCCGCCAGTAAGAAACAAATAGGGTTGCCATAGGGGTAAGTGAAAAAACAACCATTGTTATTGTATTCCAAGCATTCTTAAAATTGTGATCTGTTAAGCTAATGTGGCAGATAGTCTTGCCGGGGTCGAAGACGAAAACTGGCCATTTCAGGATGGCAAAAATACTTACGTATATCACGCAAACTAGCCATACAAATACGATCATTCTAAGAGATCTTTTGCGTGTAAAGATTCTACGATAAACGACAGGTTTTGTAACGTTTAGGTAGCGGTTTACTGCAATCAGGGCCATGGTTTCTTGCGAAACAAACGCCAACACGAAGAAAGCGAATCCCTGGAGCTGACAAGCTAACTCGCCAAACATCCACCGTCCCAGAATGAAAACTCCTATCGAGAACGGCATACAAAGAACGGCCATAAGTATATCACCCAAAGCCAGAGATGAAATTAATAAATTCGTTGTATTTTGTCGAAGGCGGCAGTTTCTTCGGATAGCCCAGTATAAGATTGCGTTTCCAGCAAGCGCAAATAAATTTATAAAAAGGATGGCTGTGGATTCGATGACCTTGAGCGCGGTGCTGCGGGACGTCAGGGCAGTTTGTTGTCTGCTAGGGGTCGGAATCGTAAAGTTAGTCATCTTGGATTTGCTCGATTTTCTCTTGTGATGTTGTTATGGCGCCGTTTTCGTTGCAATTAGGTACTCTTCTTCCTCCTGCATCTTATGTTAGTCTATCCCGGCATCTGTCTCTTTTTAAGTCCATTCGTCGAGTCGGAGAAATCCAAATACATTAAAACCTCAAGGACTTAATTAAACCACCACGGAAATTGCCATTCCGAATCGTCATCTGTTTCCTCCCTAGAACTAAGAGCACTCGCAGAGAGCAAACTCCTGGTAGTGATTTTTAACTCGTGAATTGCGCGCATGCGCAAGAGCGAGTTATAGATACGATGTGGGGAATGGAATTCGCTCGCTCGCTCGCTCGCTCGCTCGCTCGATTGGTCGATTCCTGTAAACTTTTTTTAGATTTTAGGCTTTTGAGTGCATTTTATAGTTTTTGGCGAGCAATAAACAGACGAAATGGCGACCTTTTTTGCTAAGAATAGTGGTGGGGTGAAAAAGAAGCCAATGATAATCTTAAAAGAGTTTTTTTTTTTCGTTTTAGTTTCAACAAGCGGCGCCAGCGACTGGCAGGCATGCAAGGATTCACACTGAAATAACAGAACAACCTTCGTTTTTCATAAAATTGTAATTTACAATCCTTGAACTTGAAAACAATCCGAAGATTCATTGAAAATATCACTTACTGCGAAGCGCTCGGAGTTTACAGATGTTCAAAAGCTTTTTCTGTTATAGCGTGAGATTGAGGACAAAATTGATCATTACGTTTCGTCGCGTGTGTTTTTCCTGTGTGAAGCAACAAAAGATGCCGGCGACTGACGAAATAACAAGTTAACACGAAAATCAGATAACACCTAAACAAACAATTTTAGCGACCGATTTCAGTGAATTTTTAAAGAAAAATTTTCTTTTAAGTTTTTAAGACAAATTGAAGATTCAACATACATACAACGTACTAAAATGCGAAAGTAACACACCACGAAATTGATAACTAGGCCTGAAATGAAATTCTATCTTGTTATTGATTATACGTTGCCTAGCACGTGACTTAAATCTACCCAGGCGGAGATCCAAAATGACGGTGGCAGGCTTGGCTTAATTATATCACTCAAAACTCGTTCCCGTTTGTCTCATTTGATAAAGAGGGAATCGTTAATGTTTTCATTAAGACAGTATTGCCTCGATTTTCTAATATTTACAACGAAAGACAGTAAATTTCACTTTTCACCCACATTTACTTCCAACCTTTTCTTTTGAACCAGAAACAAAAATGATAGACGTTTAAAACACATGACATCATCCACCTTGTCAAATGTAATAGCATGATCATTTCAATTGTAATGCCTTCTTATCCCAACGTTACATTGTTTCTTTGCTACATTAGCGAACACTGAACTACTGCTCGTACTCTAGATATGACAATCAACCACAAAATTCCCTAAACCAGATAACATTAAACATAATCTAAAAAATCATGTGTCAATTCACGAGTTTGCTCACAGAGCACTTTGATTATACTTTGTGACTTGAATATAGAGCAATTTTTTACTGAAAATTTACCCTGGAACCTAGGGGTGATTGGTTTCTTATCTCTCCTTACAGCATCATTGACGAGTCAAGCATTGAGATCATGAGAATAAAGGAAATGATCACTCTTTAGCGCTCTTAGTTCAGCGAACAAATTCTCCATGTCAGTACCATTGGTCATGTATAGTGACTAGTGTGAAGAATATCTAATCTAATCTTTGGGTGTCAAGGATTGTAAGTGATCTGGAGTTTCCTTCTCTTCACTACGCTCTTTGATTGATTTGGAACGTTTCAACCAACCAGAATCAAAAAACCAACTGCTCCTTGGCCATACGTTTGCATGTTCTCCTATAAGTTTCTGGATATTTTTCTGGGTTATTTTGTTTTTCTGATCAGCAGACTGAATATGAATATTGCTTTGGTGAAAACTTTTCGAAAAAAAAAATGCTTTGCAAGTGATTGAACAAATTGTTAAATTAACAAAGCGAGGCAGAAAGCTTCAAGTAACTCAGGAAGCTGGATATCACCCTGTCAACTAAACCATCGCAAATGTTTGCAAACTCAAAGGCAAAACCCTTAATTTTTCACAAACGAGAGTACTTGGAGTCTCGCCAATCAGATTGCACCCAACAATGTTGCTACGTTGTGCATAAAGGTAATACTTTGCGCTGGTTTCTATAGTGACCGAATAAGGCCCGAATCCTCGTTCCCAGGCAATTCCCGACTTTCAAATGGCGGTAGGAGAGCCCAAAGCCATCTAAGGCAAGTTTTGGCTAAGGAGTAACTTCTATTTTTTTTGTTCCGTAAATGCCCCCACCATTTTCAACTGCGGTTAAAGTGTTTAAATCAAAAGCTGCCATAAAAATAACTATACGTTCACAAGCTCGCTCCAGTACAATGAACCAGACATAAACTTTACATTTTACTTCTACTCGTATGAAGATATTCTTTATATATTTGTGTGCATGTATTTACATTCTTTAATTCTCACGTTTTCTTCCTTTGCCACCTGAGTAGTGGAAGTAGAGGGTTTGCAAATACACGATTAAATAGAGGGTAAACCCATGACGGGTTCGAGGACGGTTTCGAAAACAGAGAGAATGTTCATCAAGGAACTCTGTGGTCCACAGATAATGAACCAAAGCTGAGTTCCTTATGTCTCCATTTTCAAACCGAGGCCGACTGCTGATTCTTTGAGAAAATGAGTTTCCGGCCTCGCAACGCAACGGAAATTTTGGGGTAACTCGGGGTTAGCCTATATGTCAGATCTTTCCCGACTCTGGTACCTAGAGGTCTCATTTTCAGTTCTCTCTTTCCCGGCCCTGGTACCTAGAGGTCTCGTTTTCAGTCCTCTCTCTTCCGACTTCTGATAGCTAGAGGTCTCGATTCAGTCCACTCTCTTCCAACCCTGGTGCCCAGAGGTCTAATTTTCAGTCCTATCTCTTCCCATTCTGGTACCTAGAAGTCTAATTTTCAGTTCTTTCTCTTCCCACTCTACTTCTTTCAAGTAACTTTCTCTTTGTTGCTGTTGTTGTTGTTGTTGTGCGCGTTTTTTTTCCACCAAAACTTTCGATCCGTTTCCTTGATATCGTTGTATCCCATGCAGAGTTTCCTTTACCAAAGGAACTTACATCAGCTGGCGGCGTTCACATCCACAGCTGATTCCCAACGTTATGCTTGACCTCTGTTTTAAGTTCATCATTCAAACAACCCTTAACATCGTCCATGCCACTGAACTCTTTCCAGTCAATTATGCAAATCTACATACGTTCAAATACTATTACACAAAGCCTTGGCACACAACTGTCGACCTTCCGTTGTCTTCATGTTACACAACCCCAAAAGTACATCGGGTGTGTTTTGAAGACTAGGTGATAATTCCAATATTTCCTTTACCTGAAATGGTATAAGTATGCTAGTTATGTTACCATTCGACCCCAACGAGTGACTAACATCTAACTTCTCCTTACAATATCACCCACAAATCACACATTAAGGTCATGACGATAAAGGAAATAAGCAACCAACTAAAGAAGCTTCTGATTGTTAAACAAATACTCCCTGTCAACAACTTAAGAAATTTATAGAGAACAGAATAGAGAATATTTATACCGATGTTAGGGTGTAAAGGGTCAAAAAACGAGTCATTCTTTAAGGGGATGTGAACAAGCCAGAGATAAACCAGTATACTCCAAATAGTGACATTCAATTTTTTTCTAAACTCATGAGCTTTCCCAAGGTTTTGCTGAATAAATCTTTAAAAGAAACTGCATAAACTGCCAGTTTATGCAGTTTCTTTTAAAGATTTATTTATAGTATAAATTGCTTTATAGGAAATCAAAAAGTGTAAGTACTCTGTTTAACATATTGTCCTGCAAGTAATGTATAAAAAGTTACTTGAGGCGTTATTATGAAACTTTAATCCTTCTCTAAGTGTTGAAGGTTAAGACAGGCTTGAACGAAAGGGACGAAAGAATGGGAAGTGGTCCTTGACCCACAATTTTGACTAAAAAAATTAAAACTACATGTACCTACCAAATCTTCTGGAAGACAGGCTGATAGGGGCCCAACGATGGTTCCAATACTGGCGACAGCTTGTTGAAGGAAGGACACCAATAGTGCTGGCACTGGTCCAACCTCGGTGGTTTTAACGGTGGCAATAAAATCCTCACAAAAGCGAACTAATCAATAGATCGAAATAGAGGTCAATATCTTAACTTTCGGAACTCGGCACAATGTGATGTTTACTGGTAAAAAAATACAGATAAAACGTGATAATCTTCGCAGTCATGTCATTACAATCAAATGCTGTCTACGTTTCAAAATAAACGTACCAAGAGTCTGTTGGACGCGTGATGAAGACGTGGAATTGAAGAGAGAGGGAAAACTGTCCAACCTCTGTATTTTAGCCGGGCTTTAAAAAAGAAAGAAAGAAAGAAATCAAACTAGTTGAACTAAATTAAGAGACCTTGACTTGATATTTAAATAGCCAGTTAATAAGGAACAATACACCTCAGTCTTGTTCACATTTCTTACCGCTCGATTTCGCTATCAGTTAAATCTCCTTTCGACAGTGTATGTTCTATGGTCATTCCCAAACACACAGCGTGTGCCATAAGCCGAGCGATAGCCCAACCCTGGAGGGAAGAAAATGCACGTCTGTGTCATTAATCAAGTTTAAGGTCAAATTGGCCCAATATCGACCAGACTTACCAATGCAGCATTCATTAACGTTTTCTTTTGGCCAACCGGGAGAAGCGTAAGCTGAGCGTTAGCCGTCACTTTAATACAAGTGGCATAAAGGAGCTCTGCCTCGAACACCTTTACTTTACGTGACTTCTGCAAGCCTCATGTTTCTCCCGAGAGGAAACATCTACGACTGTTACGCATTTTAAGGTCACGGTCTTTTTTTCCGTTCTAATAGACCTCGATTTCTCCTCTGTTCTCAATGAAGAGAGCAAAGCTAACGTCTCGCTATCTTAACCAAACATGCTTGATCAATATCGCGGAACAAAGCGGAACAAAGCGGGTAATATAGGCCCATATGTACGTGTGCTGATTGGATATGAGAATACACCAGTGTCCAAACAATTAGGAAAAACCGATATAAACAACTGTACCTTTGGGTCTTCTAATATTGTTTCAGCTTCTGCGTGATTCATAACCATTGGCATAACTTTTTCAAGAAAGCAAGGCACTAAGCTTTCAGAGTCAAACGTTAAAAGACAACTGGCCAAGTCCGCTAATAAACAATAACGAAAAAAAAGACAGTTTGGACAATGCAACACTATTTTAATATACATTTCAAATATAACATTTTAATTTTCATAACGAATACAGAAAGAAAAATTGCGCAAACGAAGAGGAGTTTAACGGGGTAGGGGTGAAAGAAAGCTAAACGAGACCGAAAACTGCACATGTGAGTGAATTCTCCTTCTCGAGAGACATCATCGCACAACTCAAGGAGAAGGGAAAAAAACGACAAAGAATGGAAATTTAAGCTAATTACACCCGAACAAATCTCGTCCAATTTTCACTTAAACAAGGGCAGGGAAGGGAGAGGCGCCCAGCGAAGGATTTCTTCAGTAGTCTGCAAAAGAAATTACGCCTTCGGCTCACTGACAACCTCCAATGTAAACTGGACGTTACTGAACTAAATGTAATAACTGACCTGCCAGTAAGATATCTTCATGTCGGTTGCACTTCAACACCTCCTGATTCAGAGAGAAATGAAAACGATTGGTTGTGATGCTAAGACTGAATTCCCCATATAGGCCTTCATCCAAAAGCGATTTCTCCATGATATTTTATGAATCAGGTTTAAGGCCTTTAACGTATGCTATATGCACACGTGTGTTGCGACACTGGATTGGACTTAGAGATCCTCCTGAGGTTATCAAAACAAGACCTTTGATAGACTTAGCCCTTAAACTCCCAAGATCTGATTGGAAATTAGTAACGCGAATTTGGTGTTAGATCAAGAACACAACTTCTACCTGATAAGAGCGAGTATTCTCATCACCTGTTTCCTGGATAATGACTGGATGTTATAGAGGGGAGGTTACATGTTAATCACTTCTGGGAGATAAGAGTTGCAGGGAGAGATTGCAAACCATCAGTGAAGAGTCGGCAATGTACGAGAGAGAAAATTAAACTTAATTCATTGAACAACAGATTCGCACTGAACCGATCGTGACAAGAGCGCGCTAACCTGGACTATAGAGTAAATGAACCACTCATTTCCTCCCGTAATTAACAAATGTCTGAACTGTTCAAGTGTCTTACTACTCAGCTGACGCGCTTTGACAACGCTTGAAAACAATGATGCGAGGGTCTGTAGAGAAACCAGACAAGGAAAACATGAAAATATATGGTGCAAAATAACTTAACAAACCAATCAGAAAGAGCTTTATGCCATAACTAAATCATCATCATCAATTCACATCCTCATCTTTACTTTCATCTACCAATGAAATAGATTTCTCCTGAGGTATTTTCTCCGTACTTGTATCTAGTTTCACAAACTGTTTCAGTAAGCTTTGACCAGAGTGACCCAAGACTTATCTTTATCTACAACCTTACCTTTGACACAGGCTTGCCTTTAGATATCGGGTTGTCAATCTCCCACGTGTTGTCTGCAGAGTAAACAGACACAGACGGTTGAAATGGCTCAAAGAGTTGACTTTGAAAAAATTAAATTATCAGGATTTACAACAAATGGAGAAATTACCCACACTGGATAAGTTGTAAGTTGTAAGTTGTTACCTTTACCCTCAACACTGGATGACATCGTCTTCATAACTTCACACAACATCGCGCACCTGTAAAACAAGACAATTGTGTAAAATGACTTCTTGTTCTTCTTGATGTTAATTTTGTTATTTAGCGTTGTTCTTTCAACGAAGAGACGAGCCACAAATTGGACCCAGCCTCACCTCAGCAATTCCATTTGAAAATAATAAGGTAACACAAAAACCGTTTAGTGTCTGATTAATCCGGTCTGAAAATTTCCAAAAAGAAAAAATGCGCATTCACGAGTTATCGGAAACAGCTTTCGTCACATCCATAAACGACCTCGTTTGTTCCTACAACAATTACTTCATGATAAAATAATTTACCTTTCTACAAATCCTTGGGAAAACCCTCTTGGATTCACAGGCTTTACAAGGAATCCGACTAGCCTACAAAAAGTATAATAGAAAAATTACTAAAGCAGTCAGTTGAATTTCAGTTTGGGTCTACATTGACTTGCTTATACATGTAAAAGGGTGGTTTTACGAAAACTGCCTTTAAACTGAGCGTAAGTGACATTTGTCATAGGTATTATTTTCTTTGAGTTGATTTTCCAGGACTGCACATCACTGAACCACAAATGGAACGAGTGATTCAAGTTTAAAGATTGTTGGTACATGTATAATGGTTTTACCGCATAGGATGCTTTCTTTCTTCCGCAGTCAGGGTGTGAATGTGCCCACAGCTCCATGAACAAGCACAAACCGCCAGTGCGGGTGCTTCGTACTTGAGAAGTTCACACAATTTCTGAAAAAATAATGATGAACAAAACAATACAATGGAGTTAAGAATCCTGAGAGCTATGTTTTATCAAAGGATTCAGAGAAGACCCTTAATCATAACAACTGAAAATCACTAACTTATAAGACAAACCACATCCGTTCACAGGTTATTGTCCTCAGAAATGATTAAAGGAGCTAGACAAAACGTGGCTCCCAAAAGATATGAACATTTAACAGTTATTTCACAATTGAGGCGAGCAACACAAATTGGAGGACTTCATTATAATGCTAAAGACAAATAAATGTAATTCCCTTCTTGGTAACAGATAAGTTTTCAAGTAATTGTTGAAAGCAATCCACGATTGTACTGTGTTCTCTGATTAGTTAAGAAAACTCACGCCACCCTCTCGACCAATCAGATGCAAAACTAAAACCAATCGTGCGTTGGTCACTTTAATTCTACATGTACTTTGAGTTCTCATTGGCTTCTGGTATTGCTTTCCTTTGCTCTGAATGACCATTGTGGTTATTTTGCTTTAGGAATTTCGACACTCAGTTGAAAACAGCTCCAGTATGATTTGTCTGTCTTAGTTTCCATTTGCCTATCCCTTTTTTTCTCTTTTTTAAGTTTTCCTTCCAGAAATGTCTACTTTCTTTACGTTATTCGACAGTAACTAGTAAGGGGTTGCAACCTGAGATATCTACAATTTCTATGAGCAAATCAACACATCAGCTCCCAGAGCTTATTTACATGTAACCTCTCCTTGTAATATCATACATCATCCAACGAAAAGGAAAAGAAAATTCACAATCTGATCATACAGTTAGAGCAGATTCTCTTGATAAAACACCATCTTGTCCAGTAAGAACGTTTGACTGCAAGAAGGAAGAATTAGGAAGCAGATTTTGGAAGTTTATGGGTTGAGACATTACCTGTAGATGATCAGGAGGAACTGCTTTTGACTCCCACTGCGATGCTTTCAGCACATCATGTAGGGCACTGGATACGTTCGTACAATGTTCATCCCAATTAGCTTGACTGAGAAAAATATACATCAAAAATGATATATACGTGAGCAGGGTGACGTGTCAAGTTACATAGTAATTTCGTCCAATCCTGTACGAAAGCGCATAACTTCTACCTGTATAATTTGTGTGGACTTTATGTGACAGTTTAAATAATGAAATGACTTTCTGCTCTACACTTTTCTCAGACAACGTGCAGTCCCTTCTTTTCGAAGAAGTCCCCGTGCGAGTAAAAAGAAGACATCAGTTAAAAAAAAAAAGATGTCAGCGCGTCGCGCGGAACTTTGGGAGTTAATGCACCTGGGAAGGACTGACAGTCAGCTGCAATTGGTTTCACCGTCAGCAAATGAAATCAAAAGAGAAAGGGAAACTTGCCAAACTTTCACTGAGACGCTATGAGGTGCACACATACGTGTGAGCCAAAATATCTCAAAGAACACAAAAAGTCTCTTCAAACCTGGGCAAGTTGTTACTTTAAAGTCAGAGTAAATTTTTAATATCCTGGACGCCATCTTTTTCCGAAGACACCTTCCCAAATTAATCTTATGTACTCTAACGACATCCATACCCATAGCTGTACTCAGAGTATGGTCTCACTATTAACTGCACGGTGAAAATATTCTCATTATGATGATAAGAAGTCTGAGCGACCCATGTTTGAGAAAAATGGCGCAATTTTCAAACGAGCGTCAAAAGTAATTCAAGATCGCAATGGTTTTATTTCACTACGCTTTGTAATTAGTCTAAAACTCGCACAATTCACACAACCAAACTAAACCAATCTCAACTACTTAACCTGCTGGTTACAACGGTTAAGGCAGCTAGCTGGGTTCTTTTAGGAATTCTTACCGCTTCATTGTGACACTAAAGTTTTTTTTTGACAAGTCTAATCAGGAGTTTCAATAAAAGGCAGTTACCAGCGGTCTACCACCGCCTCTAACACTTTAACTCCCAGAAGTGATTAACACGTAACTTCTCCCCATAATATCCATACATTATCCAGCAAAAAAGGTAATGAGATTACTCAGACTTATCAGGTAGAAGTTGTCATCTCGATCAAACACCACATTCTCGTAACTAATTTACTAGGAAATGTGTAGCAGCTAGAGGGGAGAATTAACAATCAGATCTTGGGAGTTAAAGGGTTAACGCCTCTCACTGCCGTCTGTTTAGCCTGCGAACAGGCTCCCGTGTTTGAAGTTACCTTTACGGCACAGACGCCTTTTACACCATCGACAGCCGCTTACGAAAAAAAATTATTGAAACCTCTGTGTCTTTTTCTTTATATACTTGATTTTTATAGCAAGTTTCGCTTTTTCAAGACACTCAACTAAAAAGCGCTCTACTGGTTACAGGTTATATAACTGTACCTTGCAGGGAAGGCTGAGTTGCTGAAGAACATATTAAGTAATTCGTTGACGGCTGCTTGATTGGGTGTGTGTTGTGTATCAGAAATGAATGATCTCCATTTGTCAATGCCAGGTATGTGACGTAAAATCCACTGAACCACAAACGGAGTCGGTAATCGATTCTTAGAAACTTCAGAAATGACCTGACCAATAAGAGTACGAATTTCTTAAATAATCGCAACTAGTATAACTGCTCATGTGATTCTAGAGATTCTCGGCTTTACTTGGTCAGGATTACGTCACTCCTCGCTATAATCACCCCGCGAGCCCGAGGTGGTTACGACAAGAGCGCTTAACTTTCCGGATAGGGCTAGCCGCAAATGGCTTCTCTTTAGTCATTTTAAGCCTATTGAATACTTAATTACGAACGAATTTTAACACGGCCACTACATAATATCTCATTTCATTGAGTTTTTTCTTCTGTCATCTGCAATTTAGATTGATCATATGATCTACACTCCCAGGCACATTTGTTGGGACACTTTCTGCCCGCCCCTCTCAGTGTTGGTCTGCAAGATGACATGGACACATTGGCAACTGATAACATTGGAGGGGGGAGAGGGGCGGAAAGAGCGTCACAAACGTTCTACACGAGAATCGTCCCAACTAACTATGTCTGAGAATGTAGGTGCGAGATTTCGGGTCTGGTTCTTGATGCATGACAAGTTAAAAGCAAAGAAATAGACTACAATTTAAGTTTTAGCTCTAATAATCACCAAAACAACTGTACTAAAACATTAATTCACCTCATGCTCGGTAAATGTTGTTGAAAAGGCCCCGTCATCTCGGGGAATATCCAACAATATTCACTTTGCCTTCACCGAACACTTGTCAAATAATATAGGATAAGTTTTTTAAAAAAAGGAGAAGTAACTAGACTCAAACTCACCTTGGAGCCATATACTTGTCCAATATGACACAGCAACAAGAAAGACGTGTTAAATAACTCCCCTCTGATGCTTCCTTTTTTAACTACAACAAATCAATTTCACTGGTTTAATTTAACCAACAAGAGATAATCAGTTTGTTTTTCGGATCAGGACAATCATTTGGAAAGCACTGTGAAAGAGCATGATTGATCAGCAAGGTTTATAGTTGAGCGAAAGAAACTCAACTCGTTATATTATTATTCCCACTCACCGTCTTCTTTTTCTGTAGCAGGGCGAAGAGTTTGTTCTGTAACTCTACAAGGCAAAAAAGTTGAGGCAGTCGCTAGGAGTACTTTTTCAAAACCAATGCTTACTGTTCTAGATAATTAACATTAGAATTTATTTAAATGACACTTGAACATATAGTAAACTGCCATGAGCCCAGTTCTAAGGTGTTCATTTTTGGTCAGCAGTCAATCTCATGAGTGCAAGTGTACTTAGCCAAATTACAGCTGTCATCTCTAGGTTCACAAGCAATTTGGTGACCGTCATTTTCAGAAGTGCTGAGCAGTTTTCCCTCACCGATCCAATTGGTTTTAAACGGGTGCCTGGAATGTGGACCCATGAATGAGTTTAAAGGTATTGCCAGCCATGGGGTAGTATTCTATCTATAAGGCTGGCTAGACAATGAGGAACCCCTGAGCATCCAACTTTCACTTTCAATAGACTAAAAAGTAGGGGGACAGCCAATTGTTTACTAAACAAAGGAAGGACAAGACTTTTTGGTCATGGCTACAATACTGATTGCAGTTAAAACAATACAAAATCAACAACCATTAGTGACAAAGCTTTAAAATCTCCTTACCTGACAAGCCCATTTATAAGGCTCGGAAGTTTTCCCACACTTGCTGCAGCAACTGTCATCCATCTAAATTTCTCCACATTCAACAAAGGGTTAAGAAATTTTTCATCTCTGCTGCTAAGATCAGATTCCAAAGCCTGACATAAAAAAACATCATCATTTAAATTGAACAGGATCATACAAATCTGTTCATTGCACATGCACTCACTGAGCTGGTGATAATCATTAATGACTACGACATTGATGAAAAAAAAAAGATGAAAAAATATTATAACTAATACAGGTGAAGACAATACAATCAAACCACTTAATACATTTCTTCTTAATACAGATATGACTGTATCTCTACTGAAATTGTTGTATGGGTGATAAGGTGTTGATGAAACTCACCATTATTATTTCCATTATTTTGCTTTCTGAAATACAAATACAAACAGACAACATTCACTTTGTCTCACCTCAGAATGACAGTTAAAGGAAATGGGGAACACATCAGTAACTGAAACAATCTGACAAAAATTGCTTTGTTTAATACACAAACCTTCATCTTGGATCTGCTGGGCTGGATGATTATAAGACACTTGAATACTTAACAAGTCTTGTGCTTCATTTGACAACATTCTAAAAAAAGGAGAAGGGATTGATGATAAGTTTTGCAGAGTGTTAGCATGACAAAAAAATGAATGATCAGGCCAACAGGTGTCTGGACCCCTTTTACAGAAATCTAATCAACTGAATGGTAGAACAACCTAACATGAAGACAATTGAGGGGAAATAGGAATGAACTGTTGGAGGGATGTAACTAATAAGTGTCTGCAAAGATGAACACATAAATCACACAAAAGCATAAAAACTGCAATCCATGTCTATGGTAGCACAAAATTAAATAAAACTGTTCTGTAAAAAAAACCAGACTATATCATTAAGGAATACCCGTTAGCATTACAAGACGAAATGTTGAGTGTAAAACAAATGTAATCAAAGCATGTTCTTCTCACTCAAATGATACAGCAACCTATTTACAATCATAAAAAAAGGCCTGGAGGGATAAATGCATCTTTGCATCGTAGCTTACTTGTGTCTTTTGTAGATGAAATTGTGAGGAAGAGCAGAAACAAACCTTTGGGACAAAAGCTGTCCAATCCTATCAACCATCTGTTGATTGAGGTCTTTGCAGTACTGCTGAATCAATTCTTTGTAACAGTTGCATCTGCAAGGCATTGAGCAGTAATCAAAGAAAAACATAGAATATAAGAAACGTCTCTTAAAAATGGCCTTCTACATGTAAACTAAACATTAGTTTATTTCTACAGCCAGGAAAAGGTCTAACATTGAAATGAAAAGAAACTACAAGCTGACTTAACATTTGACCAATAAAAAGAAATGGCTCTTTCTGGCCTGCCTAGGATAAAAAAAAGGCCATTGGATAATACTATATATAAGGCTGATTCTTTAGTAATCTGAGCGTGTACACAGTAGTATCAACTAATGATAGTCTTAAAAAAACTTTATTTTCTAACTTGCACTTCTGGTCTGCATCATCCAACAGGGGAGCAAACTGTAGCAGTTGTTGAAAAGCAGTATGTGCAGCAGAGTGCTCCACAGGACTGGGCTGAAGTTGAACAGGAGGCTGAGATCTAGATTCCAACAGGCGAATCACTATGGGGACCTACAAACAGGTATCAGTAGTAAATAAGAAAGAAAATCTAAGAAAATATGTACAGGTATTGTGATAGCAACACCAAGGTTAGGAGGGAGGAACTAATCAACCTCTTCTCACAGAGTCTTACACAAATTTGCCCAATTTTTAGAACTTTAAGTATTCATATGACATCAAAGGTGGTGGAAGCCACATTATCATTAAGTACTAAATCACCAACTGACCTTCAGGAATAAAAACCCAGTCCACAGTATCATTTCCATTGATTTCTCAGGAGCTCCTAGCAGCCCAACTAAGGCTGATCTTAGAAATTCCAAGTATAGCTGATGCCTTGCAACATTCTTGGAAAAACAAAATTATATTAGACATCAGCCACTGGTAATATTCAAACCACATTTACTCCAACACTATTCATCTTTCAGAAATGAAATTGTCAAAGAAACTGGCAGAATTTACTTAAGTGCCACCTTCTACTGGAATATACATCCTAACAAGTTCCCTTAAAAAAATCAGGATGAACAGCCCTTAAAATAGAGCAACCATGTGGCTTAATAAAGGTTGCATTGCATGTGCAAGTGGGTCATTAAAATATTTTTTGAATGGATAGCAATAACCTAACTCTGATGACAACTTCCAGTAAAGTTGTCAAAACATCAGCCACTGCTATTGACAACAGCCCCAATTAGACTACTTACTGATAAAATGTTATTCCTAAAAAGTAAAAAAATCACTTAAATGCAACAAAAACTTGTTAACAACACTTTTTCCAGAAAAACTAGCTGGATTAGAATCTTCCTTAAATCCTGCTCAATCTATTCCACAAGTATTCTTCCAAAGTGATTGACTGAAAAATTCAATCCTTGACAAATCTATGTATTCAAAAACTAACCAAAAATGTGTTTGGACAAGGGCTGACTTGTTAAGATAAAACCTGTAGCATTTTTCCATTCAAACTAGAAGAAAATTTTGCAAACAAAAACATTTTCAAGAAAAACTTGCAGGAGTAAATGGAATTAAAAGATACTGACTGACAGTATAACTACTTGGAAGCAGCAAACAATCTTAAATAATGTATGTCAAAATCAAAGTTAGCTAATAATATCTAATATCATACCTGAGTATGCATAGTGCTTTCCATCACATCAGCAACTTGATGTGGAGTGTAAAAAGGACTTACTAAGACCTGAAAAACAAGTATGAGTATAAGGAACACATAGTCTGTCATTACTACTGACCACCTTGACAGGATGCCAGTTCATCATAGTGTTACCAGCCAGAATTATTCTGACCTTTCCTTGATAGTTTGCCTGTACTAATTTTAACTCATGGGTTGAGAGAGGCACTGTGGAAGTTGAAACTTGAACCTGGACCTTTTGATCCATAGACTCATGTCCTGACCAATAGATAGCTACTTGACCCTTAAACCCCTAGAAATGACAAGCATCTAATTTCTCCTTACAGTATTGCTGCTAAATCAAATATTAAGTTCATGAGAGTAGAAGAAATGATTGCCAGAGGAACTTGTGATTGTCAATAGAAATCTCCTTATCAGTACCATAGGAAATCTATAGAAAACAGTAAGGAGAAAATGCACACTGATGCTAGGATACAAAGGGTTATTGCATGTTATTACACATGTAGGTGAACTTAAATGTCTACGATTGCAGCTCACTTCGAAGAATCATTTCTTTCCCTGTACCAAGTTGAAATATAACTTATTCCAGGAAACTGTGAAATACACAGCGAATGAAATTGTGAATCAAAAAATTGAAGTTTGGTGGTCTGACCTGAAACTGAGTAATAATCTGGATAGGCATGTTAGGAACATGCCCTGGATTGATGTCACCACTCCCTGATGAAGAATTCAAGCTCTGTAACCTTTAAATGAACACAATATTTATTAATCATAATAAATGTGTAAGAAAAACATCCCTTACTCATTCTTTGGCAAAAAGGAACACTGTACATAGCCTTGACTAAAATGTTTTGAATCTATTGTTGCTGATTGGCTGATAAATTTTATTTATAGACTGATAGTAATGAAATAAAAATAAATTTCCTTGCATACGATATAAAACTGAATAACTGGATATCTCTAGAGATTCAAAAATTTGGTTAACACAAAAAAAATTACTAGAAGGATTAGCTAGATAGATATAAGAGGACAGATATAGATCTCTTTCATAAAAGACAGGCCAAATCAATAACAATAAATTTATTTGCACATGGTAAAATTTTTCTTAATTTGTCTCTCATACCTACTAAAATTGACCATGAGTTCTTTAATGTAAAGCTGTACTTCAGGAACTACTCCATCAGGTTGCGTCATCAAAAGGTCTTTCAGATGTGCTTGCAACTGTCTGTCGAGTTCCAATGCTGTGGCTAATGAGAAACAGAAACAGAAACCCTTGGAGCAAGATTTATGTTATTAACATGACTCACTCTCACTTAAGCCATTATACCTGGGGGATCTACCTGTCCTTCACCACAATTTCTAATCTCATGTTGTGAGAAATTAGAAATAATTCTCATTGACATGTAAATCAGGAGAAAATTCTTTTTTCTTACCTTGATCCTCCATCTTTCCTACAATAACCATAGCTCTGTAAGATGATGAACCTATGAGCTGTCCAAAGGCTCGGTGGCATTTTCCAATATTAGCCAAGTGAAACAGGAGATTGATACCTCCAGACAGACGTATTGACTGCATTATTGAAAAATGCAGAAAGGGTAGTATAACACAGAGTATGTGAGTTAAATGAAAAAAGATTATCATTCTTCTTCTAACAAAGTTTACTTATGATCTATACATATAATAATGACTTCTGATAGAACTAAAGCCAGTTTTCCCAGACATTACGTGCAACTTTGAGAAATTTATAATGAATAATACATGCAGCATTTCACCTAAGTAGATGAAGTGATGTTTATACAATAAATAAGTGACCTCTTCTTCAAAGACAAGTTTTATATTAACAAAGGCAGTGTTATCAATGTTTAGTTCCCAAATCAAGGAAATACTGTATATATTTTCCAAACATCACAAAGGACATAACTACATGTATCAACTGACAGTAAACCCCTCTCTATCACTGTTACATATATATGTGTATTATAAATATCTTAGGTACTAGTCAGACTAGCACCTTCACCAGTGATGTTTCAAATATGGAGTGCAAAGATATAATTTACAAACCTCTATACACAACTTGAGCAGCCTTGTAGAAACAATAAGAAGCCAATACAAGATTTTGATGAAAGAAACTGCTAGCTGCAGACATTCCTCATCACTGTCTGGACCACTTTGAAGAGAAAGGAAATCTAGCGCTTCCATATTTTGAAAATCAACATTTTATCTTACTTTTGTGGTTTCATCAGTTCATGATTAAAAATCAAAGGAAGGAATCAAAGTTGACAGGAAGTTTGGTTTCTTACCAAAGTGAATTCTCAAATCGTCGAAAAAGCTTACATTAAATTCAGCTCAGAAATTATCAGAGTTTAATGTCAGAAACAATTTATTTTCAAGGCAAGGCTGTGCTCTAAGGAAAATTTCAGGGAGCCCTTCGGGCTCCCAAGCGTTTTAGCTTGGGTGCCCAGGCCTAAAAGATGGTCGCCCAAATCAAAATTTCGGGGAGCCCGAAGGGCTCCCAAACATTTTAGCTGAGGTGCCCAGGCCTCCTAGTTGGTCGCCCAAATTAATAAATCAGTCAGTTAATTATTAAAAATTAAACAAACTGTTTTCATAACGAGTCAAATAGAACTATGTGCATTTATTTATTGTTTTTATGTTCATGAAACATCGTATCCTTTGACCTCCTGAAAACCTATCGGTGAAATGTTCAAGACAAATGAGCTTTTTGTGGATTCGGTCGATTTTATTTTTAGTGCGTGATACGTAATAACTTGTCACGACACCAAGGACAATGCGGGACTTATAGAGTTTATACCCGTTTCTAAAACAATCACAAAAAAAACGTATCTTTTCTTTTTTATACATCGTGTTTTACTGGAAAAACAATCTTAAGTTATGTTTTTGCCTGGCAGACACGGCAGTAAAAAGCCGGCTAAAATATTAAATTAGCATAGAAGAGCAACTCCCGTGTTTATTCAGCGATTTATTAATCGCCGACCGTACTTTATGCCTATCAGAGCAGAAGTAACAACTTCTTTTGAAAAACTAGCTGATGAGCCATCCCAATTTAAAGGAGAAAAGCTGTTTAAATTGAAAACTGTGCAGCTAGTCAAGTTCAAAGTCAAGGATTATGCTACATGTGAATTCACGTGGAACGACCTTTGAACATCAACGTGCGCCCGATGGAACAACATTTTCTTTTAAAAGAACTCCCATGTTCATTTAGCGATTTATTAATCATCGACCGTACTTTACGCCTGTCAGAGCAGAAGTAACAATTGCTTTTCAAAAACTAACTAACGAGCCATCCTAATTTAAAGGAAAAATTATAATACTATTTGGAAAAGCGGTTAAAATTGAAAAATGTGCAGCTTATCACGATCAAAGTCGATGATTATGTTACACGTAAATTCACGTGGAACGACCTTTGAATATCAACGCGCGCCCAATTGAACAACATTTTTTTTTTTTTTTTTTTTTTTTTTTTTTTTTGACTGTAAATCAAGAAACCAACACCAGCCAGTCACCCGGCCGGGTGACCAAGAAAATATTTTCAGTCGCCCGAGGCCAAATGTTAGTCGCCTCAGGCGACCGGGCGCCGTTAGAGCACAGCCTTGCAAGGTCACAGCTTTAGCATTAACATGCTGTATTCATAACTTAAGAAACTAAGAAGGGAAGGGAAGATTTGCCAGAAAACTAAACCTTTCAAAAAAACATTGCTTTATTATTGAGCAGGTAAACAAAATAAATGGATATATGACAGATTGAAAATAATTAATTTATAGTTCCTCTTCCAAACAGGACCATAAAAATTGGTAAATCTAGAAGTTAATCTAGTAATACTTATGCTGATTTTAATTTATCAATAACAATAATCACCTTATGGTTGGAATGAAACCAAGCAGGAGATCAAGTAGAGCTGATAAGCACTTGTGTTTAATAATATTCTGAAACTAAAGTCAAACATATGCAATAATTAACAAAAATTTACATCACTAAAGGAAATTGTCAATGAACCTTACAACTAAATATTTGAGTATTCAATCAATGAAATACAATGAACCACAATGGACAAAGTGGCATGAGAGTGGGAACTGATATGATTCAAGATAGTCAGACATTTATATGTATGTTGCTACCAAGAAGAAATTGATCTTTTAAAGGAACTAGATTATACAGGGGAATAACATTCATTTTTTCAGCTTGCTTAAAGTTTAGTGCTTTTTTATGTCACTTTTACACCTGAGTAACATGAATTTTTACATCAGCTCATAAACATACCTGATGAACCGCTGTTAAGGCTGATGAGCATGAAATGACCTAGGAGAAAAAATACTCATTATGTGTGTATTCTGAGTACTTGGTAGCAGTGATTTCTGTACCACATACCTTAGTGGAAATCCCATGATTAAGATAAGATAATATCAACGTGCTTGGTGTACTGCCAAATGTAGCTTGTTGAACAAGGCATTCTGTACAATCATGGCAAAATAAAAACAAAAATTAAAAATTAACATCAAAATAAATAAGTTACATGAGTAATTATTAGGAAAAATCTCAATAACGCTTCAATAGACTATCGAGCAAACAAGTTTCGAGAAACAGGAACTTAATCAGCGAAATGTTGTCACCTTACAACAACATCCGCATCAAATTTTACATCTTTATAACATGAACTTTGAAATTCAAATGACCAGCCAATGGCTATTTTCGCATGTAATTACCGTATTCACACCACAGTAACGATAAAATTGGGTGGAGGAGAAGTTATATCGATATCTTAAGAATAAAACGAGTACTGAAAGTTTAATCACATAGCATCATATTGCAATTATTTTCAGTTTCGATAAAAACGGGGCGTCATGACAGACGTTTCCCTTCTTGCTTCATCAATATTTAGCATAAACAAAAAATTACCTGCTAGGTCCTGAAGTTCTTCGTTATCTTTCCCAGCCAGCTTTTTCACTTCTACTAGCCACTGTAATGGAGTCCATCTTCCTCTCCAAGCTCGAAGTAGAATCTCCGTGTTGACCACCATTTTGAAAATCTATTCCTTAGTAACCTGGCAATGTCCAGCTATGTCATGTAAGAACACTCATACTATTTACCTCTGTCATGTTATACTCCTGAAATTTCAAAATTCCAAAGAAAAAATCATCGAAATTTTTAAAGGTTCCTTAAACTTGTTGTGCAGTTTATAAAACTCCGCGTGAATCTTTTTTTAATATGATACAAACTCAGGAGGGTAATGGGCTCCTGACGAACTTCGATGTTCTGAATTGCACGGCATCCCTTCGTTTGCCCAAGCATACTTTCTTACGTGATAGACAGTAATACACTTCTGTCAATTCATTTATCTCAGAGAGAAGCAATCAAACTTACCAAACTTATTTTGTCTTTTATTTGAAGGCGGCTACGTTGTCTTATATAATTATACGGTACGAAACCGTTTAGGGGAATGAAATACCTAAACAAGAACAAATCTTTCAGTTGGTCGGGGAAGCTGCTGCACATCCTTAAAAACCATACCCTGATGGGCGGCATACATACTGTACCGTTCAGGCCAAAGAAATAGTGCCTCGGCGGTACTAAGACATATTTGGGATGCCATGACACCTCTTACTTAACTAATGAAACAGGAACAAGAGGAAGATATTTTGGACAGATCGTTTCTGATCGTACAATCCGGAAAGACTTTTGCCTGCCTTTTTAATCAACAAAATCTGATTTCTTTTCTCCTATTTTTACTTTACAAATTGATAAGACAATACTTTTCTGACAGAATGAGTCTTTCGAATCTTTATTCGTTTTCAGATGAACATATCTGGTCCTCTAAGTGCTAATTTACCAGAACACATTCCATATTGTTCAGTAGTGAACAGAACATCTGCGATCACGATGACCATAAAACGCTTAATTAATCTTGCTGTCCATTAACACTTTGCGTACCAATGAATATCGACCTCAGCATGCATTGTACAAAGGAATCATCTAAACCGCTTTTCACACAGTTCAAACCCCTCTGAACAGCTGCTCAACAGTGGTTTCGAGCTGTGAAAAGAAATCAAAGTTGGCGTAAAACATTGTTTTCTTGGTGAGGTAGCCATGCGACTAAACGTATGCATTTTTTGTCGAAAGCATACAATATAACAATGAAAAGGAGGGTTAAGCCATATCAACAAGTACAATTTACACGCACGCAAGCATGACTCGAACTAAAGATCGTTCGATCGTTTACTTATCTTTTCACCTGAAAACCCTTACGGTCTCCACTTCCTTCACAGAAAAGAGTTAATTACCCATAGCCTAAAAATACGCGAATAACTTTTACAGTAACCTCAACTTCCCCTTACGTATCTTTTATGTTACACTAATCACTCAAAAGTAGACAATGAGCGTAGATTTCCATCCCTCAAGGTAAAAAAATGAGCCACTTTTTCTGCACTTGAAGGCTTGGGGTGATGAGCAGTAGAGCTGCTCTGGAAAAACGGGTTCTGTTTTTCTGAAAATGATGTTTTTATCCTCTCTTTCATGAAAAACTAGTTGAATTGTGCTGTATAAGTCGAGAAGCAGATGCCCATAACTTTGAGTTTCGTTCAATCGTCGCCACAGAAAAGGTCTGACACTTGATTCTTGTAGAGGAAGATGTTGTAATCAATGTGAGGTGGCTCGTAGGGTTATATTGTGTTGTGAGTTTCAAAATAAAGGGTTTTTGTTTTGTTTGTATTGTATGTTTGTGCGCTACGGCCGGAATACCTTGTAGTGTATATGAAAGCAGAGGGTCCTTCGCAACAGCGAATTTTCGAGGAACGCAACACAATACTGCAACAAGGGTAAACTTTTTGGAGGGCAATATGTTTGTTATTATAAATAGAGCTGAATCGAATCTAAATGATATTGGGACGCGCTCCCAGTTGAAGTACCTAACGGCGCCGCAACACATCAACCATATTGCTAAGGATTATTTTTGGAAATGTTTTCCATCCTATTCATTTTTTCTATTGAAAACATCTGAAAACTTTATCACGATAATTCGTTCGCTTATGCAAAGCAAATAAATAAACAACGCAATATTTTGAGTTATTCAAAAATATTTCGCCAAATTTTTAGCTCGTGAGGACTGTAATTCCTCGAATCAGGTGACTTACAAGAAGACTAAGAAGAAACCTTCCACGTTTTCATCATCAAACATTGCGTTTTCGGTAACTCAAACGCTGTATCATTATTTCAAGAATGAGTCGCATATCCTTAAGAAGTTTAGTAATACGGAAATACTAAATGAGTGCATTCGTGGGAACTTTACAAATACGGACATTTGATACCTCAGCGGCTTGCGCAGATATAAATATTGCCCGACAATATGTGTACAACAGAATGTTTATTCGCGTTAACGACAAAACACAAGAAAAAAACAGCTCAACAAAGGAGATTTATTTTCCCGCCTTCGACCACCTGTTGCAGTACACAACACCACCAGCCAATGAAATCTCGTCATTTCTATTTTTATCCAATCATCGTTGTGTTCTGCCATCTTTCCTTAGCCTACACGTGGAAACACAATGCAGCTGACTGCAGTTCACAGCCTTTGTTATGCTACATCCGTAACAATGGCACTTGTTACAATACATGTCAGCGATAAAGGGGCGCGAACCACGCGTCAGCCACGCGGGCAACAATAACAAGGTCTTTTGTTTCGACAAGGCGCCGAAAATGAAAGTTTAGGCTCTAGGTAACCACAAGTAATGAGCATAATTTGAATTTCATATTCTTTCAAAGAAGATCACCTTTTATTTACATTTCTTTTCTTTCGACAAGGCTTTTATTTTCATAGACCTGCCCCGAAAGGGCCACAGAATGGAAAATTCAAGGGTCTTGTACGATTTTACAGACGAACACGGCGCGAGCTTGGCTCTTCGCGAGATGAACATTTTGCGAATGGAGAACTGTTTCTGCGATGTGGTTCTATCAACGGAAGAAGGAGAGGAGTTCAATGCTCATCGGCTCGTTTTGGCCTCTGTGAGCGCGTACTTTCGAGCAATGTTTTTAACAGACATGAAAGAAAGCCATGAAACAAACATCACAATAAGAGGAGTAGAATCACAGGCTTTGAAATCCTTAATTGATTTTGCCTACACTTCGACATTAAGAATCACTTTCTCTAACGTCCATTCCTTGCTTTCAGCGGCTAGCCTACTTCAGTTTCTAACGGTGGAAAACGCTTGCTACGATTTTCTCAGAAATAGCATCAACACCAACAACTGCCTCGATATTTGGAACTTGGCCGATCTGCACGACTGCACAGAACTTCTGGATCTAGCGGAGAACTTCATTCGCTCCAACTTTGTGGCAGTTCTCAAACTGGGGGATTTTAATTCTCTAACGGCGAAACAAATTGTGAAATTGTTTTGTCACGACAAACTCAATGTCCCGTGTGAAAGTGTCGTACTCTTCGGAGCACTGGAGTGGGTCAAGTACGATTTGACCAATCGGCTCACAAATCTCGAAGAATTATTGACCCATGTCCGATTTCCTTTGATGACTCGGAAATTTTTGATGGACACGGCCGCAAGAGAGGAGCTTATCATGAGCAGTTCAGCGTGCCGACAATTTGTTCTAGAGGCGATAGATTATCATCTGATCCCTGAGCGAAGGACAAAGAATCGAATCACGCGGGCGATCCCGCGGGAAAGGCTCAGCCGACTGCTCTATGTGGTTGGAGGTGAAGGTAGGGAAACCCTATTTATGTGGTTAACATTAGCAATATTTAACATAGGTAATGTTTCTCTTTTAGATACCTTGGCTCTAGATGGGATAATAAGACTCTCCATCGAAAGGTCAAGCCACCAAACAAACAAAGTTTAATTAACGTGACTTCGTCACGTCACGGCTCACATTTCAAGTTCGTCATTCGCATGCACTCATGTTAAAAATCGCCATCCCTTAAACCAACCTTATTCTATCATTTCGAGGTTTCCTTTTATTTTTCTACTTCTTCTTCTTCTCCTTTTTCCTTAATGTATTATACCCATTATCATTTTCATTACTGTTATAATTATCATCATTATTTGGTCTCTTTCGATTGTAATCTTTTTTGCATTTCTCTCGGTTTAAATGTATATTTTCTAATGCCTCAAAGGCGCCTTAAAATGCAAAGAGAAGGAGCGCAGAATTCCATGATTCATGTCATATGTACTTATTAACTGAATGGGGGGGCCGGATAGGAAAATATTTGGCTGAGGCAAGAGAAAATATTTGGACATTATTTTCGCTTGGCACTGGGGGGTAATAACGTACAGCGAGGTCTGTGCGTTGTGGATCCAAATATTTTCCCGTCCGGCTCAGTCAACCTTACTCAGTCAATAAACATCCTATCACATTCACATTACTGTCGATCTTCCCTTTAATTTTCCCCTCCTTCTTTTAGCTCGCAACTCGCGGGACCGTACGACCCTCCTACGATCGCGGATTTTTGCCTAATGCTTTTCAATAAAAGTGCAGTTAGGGCCGTAAGGTTCATTTGATAAAACCTCTAACCTCGCTTCATGTTAGGAATTTTAAGAAGCTTGGTGAAACATGGATGACATAGCGTAAGATTTGAGCGTCTTATTATTTTTATGAGGATAAGAAATGAAAAACCGAAAAAACAAAAACAAACAAAAATAAAAACAAAAGGGCTAAAGTCCATTACTCTCTTGGCCGTGTTGAATAGATAAAGATTGTTTTTAAAGACCATAAACCAAGTCAAATATCGCTGTTGTGGTTGTAGAAATGCCAAAACCGTATCCTGAATAAGGCCTCGTCATAGTGCATGCAAAATACACCTCGAATATACCAACAATGAGTTCTCTAAAGAAGAAAAATTGAAGAAAGAAGCGGCTGAGGGGTAGAAATGGGTTTGACGTAGATAACCGATTTAGATGGAACCACTTGTTAATAAAGTAGAATTGACACTTGTGATGATGGAGAGTCTATAGAAGAGTCATCATCGCAATATTCGATATTTTACATTGAAAATCGCAGGGGAGGTGATTAAAAATTAAAAATAAACTCGTCTAAAAAAGAGAGTCTGTATCGACTTACTTATTCATGACGTCAAAGGGCTTTGTATTTTATTGTCTACAAGAAGGATCAAAATTCATAACCGAAAATGAGTAGATTCCAGCCAGGTCGTATGGCATGCGTAATGCCTTACTTAATTTAAAACTTGATGAAATACAATAACTGTTATTTGTGATATCAAATTTCTGCCATTCTGCCGTTCACGTCGACTTTAAGTCTCCGAAAGAAGATATCTGTACTCACGAAAAGTGGGTTGAAATTCTCGGTCCAGCTACGTTTCGTACCACGCAAAACTTAAGCTAAACCACCTTTCTCCCGGTGCTGACGTTACTCCTTGTTCAGCGCCGGTCAAGGGTCGAGGTTACGCCAAGATTTTTGTGTAATAGTGCAATGCGTGCACAACCTTTCACGCTTAGGCGGATGTGCAGCAAGAAAGCAAGAAGGAGAGGTGAAAAAAGTAGATGTGGTGGGCAATAGTAAAACAACCAATTTGAAAAATGAGACTTTTTCGAGTGAAGTATGAGGCTACGGCTATTAAGTTTCCTAATCCTTTAGTCACTTAAAACTGGACTTCACCCCACATTCTTACATTTCACGTTCTCAGAAAACCGCAAAGTCCTAAACAATGTGGAGTACTTTGACTTCAACGAGAAGAAATGGCGCGTCATTGCACCCATGATCATTCCACGAAAGTTTGCTGGCTCAGTGATACTTGATGGCCAATTGTATGCTGTTGGAGGAATTAACAGAGAATACGCTGACCTGGTGACCGTCGAAAGTTATAATCCCTGTGTGGGGCAATGGACATCTGTTGCGTCACTCAATAAATGCAAAGGTGATTAACGAATGCTAGAGGCATTATGGTGTATCGGTTTAAATTAGCTTTGGCTTTCGTCGCTTGGTGATAGGTTTAGAAAGTTCGTGCCATCCTATCCACAAAATTTCAACCAATCGCAACTCGGTCAGTCGTAATTTTCAGTATTATCACTAGTTTGCTTGTATTCACTCTGAATGTTTCCTTTGGCTTTTTGTGTTATTTTCCTTTCATCTGATTGGCTGATGCCATATCGTTGATTTTGGTCTTACGTGGAACTCAGTCAAAGCGAAAGTCGGCAACTTTACCTATCTATTACTTTGATCCTAAGAAACTGATACCAAGAACTTCAGTAGAAAAATAGTCATGTTTATACCGTTGTTTGTTTCTTCCATCTTAGGTTCTTTAGCAGTGTCCGTTCTGGAGGGTTGGCTGTACGCTGCTGGAGGATCACACAATGGTTCCGCTCTCAAGAGCGTGGAGCGTTACGATCCGATCAAGAACGAATGGACTCAGGTAGCCAATATGCGCCTTCCTAGGAGCCGCTTTGGAATGGCACCTCTGCATGGGCGCCTGTACGCCGTTGGCGGGTACTGTGGGATTTCCGAAATCGAACATGTGGAATGTTATGATCCAATGACAAATAAGTGGTCCGATATGAGCAGTATGAACAAGTCCCGGATGAACCACGCTGTGGTGACATTCAGTGATCGTATTTACGTTGTGGGGGGCAGTAACAGTGTTGGAATCCTAGATTCCATAGAGAAATACAATCCTGACTTAAATTTATGGCTGATAATCCGCAACACGATGGATCCGCGCAGCGGAGCAGGAGCCGCTGTGGTGTTGGGTGGAGAGGAGGGTGCGCAAGAACTTTTTATCATCGGTGGTCACGACACCCACAATAGAGATACGAATTCTGTGAAAAAGTTGAATCTGAAGTTTGCTGATTACACGACAGCAAATGCACCATGCATGAATTATCCTCGCGTACACGCTGCAGTAGCGTGCGCTTAGTAAGTCAACGTCCGTTCACAGTGGGCGTGTGAAAGATCTAAGAGAAAGGAGGAGGTGGCCCATTTGGAATCTGTTGGCGATCTTTTTCACTCTTTTGCGCTCCGGCCAAGATGACTGGGAACCAATGCAATGTCTGCAATTTTCTCCGCGTTAACCTACGTCATAAACAATTAAAGAAACCAAATAATTTCAAAGTAATTATGTGTCGAGTCAAACAGAGAGGTACACGGTGTATGGATATTTCGTATGGGTCCCTATGAGCACTTGATGCGCTCACGTAATTTTTTATTTGACTGAAGGTTGCAGTTCTGCGGTGTTTTTAAGAAGAGGAAACTCCTAACGTCGTTCGAGCAGTAGATAGTGACTGTGCTAGAACAGATAGATTCAATTCATTACTAAATCTATTAGTGACGAACACAAGTAATTTTAACCATCGCTGCTCACCAATCAGAAAAGAGATAACCAAAGTTATAGAACTGACTCTTTACCAAATTGTTGTGAGGCCTGGGTATTACGGTAAGGTAGGCGGGAAGGATTTACTATATTTCCTGATATAATATTGGTGACTTTTTAATTATTTGAAATAGTTTCGGTCAAATAAGGAGGTTGGTTTTCTTCCGTGCCAAACATAATCCTAACAAAAAGGAAAAAGCAGAAACTGCACTCTACTCATTTTAATCACCATTTTATTAAAACCATTTTGAAATCGCAAAATTCAGTCGCTTAGATAAAGGATTTCTTTCGTCTATGCAAATATTTCATTGATCCATTAAAGAGCAGGTTTGTAGGTTACGTAAGTCGTTTTTCATTTTTCTAAAATTTGATTGGTTCCTGAACTAGCCTCGAAATCTGATTGGTTGTTGTATCTTGGTAAAGCTTTCGCGTTCGCTGGGAAAAAGATGCGATTCCGCGCAAAAATGGTGCGTTTCGTGAATAAATCGTACCAATGAGAGCTAATCAGATTACGATGATCATTATTGATTTCTAAATGGATGTAGTAAAAGCTTGTAACAGCGACGTCACCAAGTTCGCTAAGCATATGTAAACTTTGTTTACTCTCTGGGACAAAGGAATTTCATTCATTATCTATGCGAGCGGCAACAGGACATAGGCTTGACTGATGAAGTAAAGGCCATAGGTCACCAATATGAAGGGTTTGGGTTTCTCTTCTTTTATTTTTACGTATGAATGGTGTGCATTTCAAATTCATCAAAATCATTTAAGGGTGCAAATATCTGTGTGTGGGGCAATGGACATCTATCTATCTGCAAACTAGGTGATGACTATGAAGATTACTCTTGCAATTCCAGGAAGTGTAACTAACATGGGGTAGTTTATGCAAATATCAATTTTGTGGAAGAAAATGAAAAAAAAAATTGCAAGGATAAGTATGGCAGAACTTACAATTAAATTAAGTCAAGTAAATTATTTATCACTAATAATTGCTACCACCAATTGCACACCACTGTTTAAAATTGGTTAAAAAACAACAAATACCATTATGTATTTGGGAACTTTATTGCTCCTAAAATTTACCAATAAAAGACTATCAATACTTACTAGCAGCCTCATTTGATTTTCTTCACACCAGAACCTTAAAAATGAGAAAACTATGGAAAAACCAAAGTTATAGTTTAACCCTTTAACTCCCATAAGTGACCAAGAAAGAATTTCTCTTCACAATATCAATACAATATCAAGCAGACAAGTGATGAGAATAAAGAAAAATATCAGTTAGAGGATTATTAGTGGAGACAATACCAAATTCTCAAAACTAGCATCACAAGAACTGTATGGCAGACAGTAAGGAGAATTACCAATGAGATCTTGGGAGTTTAAGGGGTTAATAAAGTGTATATACACTACAAACATCACCAATTCAAAAGTGACAATGTCTTCAGTTTTGAGTATTATTCAAAACAAATTTGTTAAAAAAAAGAATAAATCCACTTTAATAAACAGAATAACATAAATGGTGGGTGCAGAGAAAAGGGGACTAAATTTCTCACAGCTAACCTTAAAACCAATCAACTCATGAAGCTTAGTATCCTAGTTTCATTGCTAAAGATACAAAATTTTGCCCAATATTAAGATTAACATATTCAAATTATGCACCATTCTGACTTGATATGAATGGCTCTTCATTTCCCTTTGAAACTATTGTAGGAATTAACCCTATGAGCCTGAGGAGGAAAATAATTAAAGAACAACCCTTAAGAGCCAACCTACAAGAGGTTTAGCTTATCTGTAAATGTGTCAGCCTCTATGACAGAATTAAAAGGCTGTTGGGCAGGAGTCATACTTTATGACTTAATTTCACTGGCTAAAGGATCAACCTTATTTAATGCAAAGACTTTACTTATCATTCAATAATTGTTCCCTATCAGGGGGAGGGTATACCAGGGCTCATTTCCTACACAGCAACTGTTGTCCAGGCTAACATAATTGTGGATAACTGGAGTGCATTCAATAAAAAGATGAATGGTCAGAGTAATTTCTGAGAACAAATAAATGATATTATTAGTATTCTTTTTTAACCAGAAAGTAACTCTTCCTAACTAAATTATAAAGAACTACTTTAAAAGATGACCTTTGATAAAAGTTTTTTTCTGTCTTGTTAACTGATTGGGATACAAGTGTTATTTGCTAGTAATATGGGCCTGCCAGTCAGAAGCTTCCTAACTTTAGATAAGTGGGAAAAGAAAATCCACAAATAACATGTAAAGAACCACGAATCAATTCAATGGATGAACATCCATTGATTTTGTGCTCTCTTTTAAAAGATCAGAAGAAAAATCTATTTGTACACAGAGAATAATCATTTAAAATGAATACTCTCAAGAATCCATTATTAAAAAAAAGACTATCCCAGCATTGCTCTTAGAAGTCCCTTGCATCATTCCTTAGACAGGTTCTCACAAAACAAACTCTACATTTATGTAGCTGCTCGCTACCCAATCCCTGACATTCTTGTAGCACTAGGGTATTCATTCTAATATATTACAAATACAATCTTCCTCTCCCAAAGATAATCCACATTTAATTGGCAAGTTGCTTGTGATGGCTGACTGGTCACCAATCAATAGTTAAGATCTGCTTTCACATCTTCTAGTTCCCTTGACAGATTTGCTACTCGCTTTTTCCAGGAGTTTACTTGTTCTGAAATGAAAAACAAACAGACTTTTAAACAGAGACAAAAAGAAACAATGACACCTGGTTTGCCCCAAGTTATGCAGAAGTCTCTTTCCATTTCTATGGGTGGAAGAAACTTCTGTCTTAAGCTTTAAACCAAAACTCAAAACTACTGAAAACAGCTTACTGCCTGTTTCAGCCCTTTTTTCCAAGACAATGAGATCAGCATGGAAATCTAACCATTACTTCTTCACCCATAATGTAAAGTAATCAGAGTGTGCACTAAATGGTATATGTGGTTCTTACGTTTCAATCTGTCCCGTTGAACCACTAGAATCTTGATCTCAGCTTCATTAGCGATGGCCTCTGTTTCCAAATTCCTGATTTGTTGCTCTGTGGTCTCAACCTTGTCTTCAAAGTATTCTTCACGTTTAGAGTATCGCCTGTGCTTTGATTCTAAATTAATGAGTCTTACAGTGGTAGAATCAGATTCTTCGCTGAGCTTGACAATCTTGGATTCAGCTGTATTCAACCTTGCAAGAAGCTCACTCAGTTCAGACTTCATGCAACTGTACCTGACCTTTGCCTCAGCCAAACGCTCCTCAGCTTCATCAGCTTGTCTCTTTTTATCTCTAACCTTTATCTCAAGCATGACAAGTACATCACTGACTTCAAATTCTTTAGATTCAAGAGACTTTCTGATCTTTTCGCTCTCTTCTGCGATCTCTTCTGTGGCTTGGTGACCTTGTTGCTTTTCCTTGAGTTGCCTGTAGCTGTTTGCCAATTCCTCCTTTTTATTTTGGATCCTTTGCTTAAGTACCGCCACTTCATCATCAGCCAGACTAGCCCTTTCCTCTGCTTGTCTGAGGAGGCGTATCAGGTCTTTATATTTGTTCTCTGCCCGTTTGATGTCCTCTTGAGTTTCTTTAGCCTTTCTTTTCAGTGCATCCATGTTGTAGCCAGAACCAAATAACTATCACACAATAACTACAAGCACTTGATGGCACACACCCTGACTGTGGAAAAAAAGAAAATAATTCAGTAAGTACCAGAACTTTCTGAGGCATCATTAAGAAAAGAAAACATGGCTAATCTCAATTGAGGTAACTTAACAGTGTAAAAAAAAAGGGGGGGTGTTAGAGTTCTTATTTTGCTGTTGAGCCAAGTTTTTAACAAAAAAAAAATAAAAACTGGAATGTCAAAAGTAGGTTATAATACATAACATGTGGTTGAATATTTAATGCATAACCACCCAAATTAAAGAAAGGAGAAACATAAAAATTCCTTCTCTCCACACTCTTTGGGCTAAGTTATTAATCAATGACATATCTAATGTTTGCCCCTTAGTTAGGTTTCACTTTGTGTAGAAAATTGACCTTAGTGATATTAACACCAACAACCATGACCTGTGAGGTTTGGGAACATTCTGCCAGAGAAATATAGCCTTCAGGACCCAGTTGTTCAAAAAGTGGATAATGCTATCTAACAGATAAATCACTATCCAGCAGAAAACTGTTAAGAAAATGTACTGAGCTATCCACCAGATAGCAATTTATCCAGTGGATAGCATTATCTAACCTTTGAACAACCAGGGCCAGAAGTGAATTATACCAAAGGGTATCAAGTACACATGAATGAAAAGTATGCTGAGGCAAGCTAATTCAAATGTTCCAAACCCATTAATGTATTATAATTTTCACAATGTTTGAGGGTCAAAAGTATACACACACACACAGATTCTGACTTCCCATAAAAGGAAAGCAAGTTTCTTATGGATTATGTAGTAGATGTTCATAACAAACTATTGCAGAAAAATAACATACAATATACTGTCGTGCTCAAAAGGTTACTGAAGTTAAGTTTAAACAATTCTTGAAGTCAATTACTGGCTGAACAGTGACTATTCAGAGAAAACAAACTTATGTATCAGCTACAACAGCTCTCATCCAAATAAGAAATCAGCAAAGGTTGAGTAAAAGTTTAAATATATTGGCTCAGCGGGAAAACCAATTCAAGACATGTAAACCCCTACACCGTAGTCGGTAGACATCACACTAAATACAGATGCTAAGCAAAGTATCAAACGTATGCTCTCACCAGACTTCAGTCTCAGAGATTTAACCTTCGCAACTTACATGAAAACCACTACTGAAGTTCTGGCTTTTTAACTAGCCCGGCCAGGTTCTAAAAAGAGGGACATCGCGAAGATAAACTGCATTTTCAAAGCAATCTTTCCGTCTATCCAGAAACCTTTTGAAATTGAACATGGCGTAGCACGAGCCATAAAACATTACTATGAATTGGCTGCCAAGACAAATATCGATCCGATGTATTTCCGATCCTGTGAAAAAACGGCTCCCGTATCTTAATCACAAGGAGTTTTAATTGTTAAATTTACCTGTAATGCAGAAGAAGTAGCCAATTTTACAGCGTGTTATCCAAACGCCACCAAATCTGCAACCACACCTCGCCTCTCAAGACTGGGTGTGCATAAATTAGGTGCACTCGATTTCCGGTATATATGCTAAAACCAAGTGTCGCCATTCAGAAATACGGGATGTTTCCCAGTTGATAACATGTG